TGCGAGTGCGAGGGAGACAAAGGAGCGCACCGGTGTGAGAGAGTGAGCGGTGTTTAACTTTCGAGGCACCTCCTCCGCTTTATTTGCTGAGAGCGAGATACTTATCTTCGGCTCGGCGGGGAGGCGACGCGCGCTTCACTCGCTTCACTAGTCAAGCAGAGGGAGGGGAGGCGGCGGAGGCGGGCCGGCCGGGCAGAGGGTGGGGGGGAGCAACAGCAGCAAGTTCCTCCAACTCGTTCCGCCATCACTCAGTTCTCAGCCGGCGATCATCGCCCTGCTAACGCCACGGCTCCGCGGTCGGTACCGCCGACCCGGGTCGGGACTCGACTCCGGGACCCTGCTGGCCCCGCTGGCCCCGCTGGCAGCAGCCTGGAGCTCGTAATCTCGTAATTGATGGAACCAGCACACTGTGGTTCAGTGGAATGAAAAGGGAATTTCTACTAGCCAAAGCATTTTTCCGCCAGGAGCATACAGGTAGCATTTTCCCGCGTAGTAGGCTTGCTCGGTCCGGGACAGAGCGATGAAGCACTGCCCGGCCGTGGCATGCCGGAGCGGTGTCCCTCGCCAAGTTTGCGCTCTGCCTCTCGTTTCATCTCATCTCGTCGGCCACCCCGACGGGGACCCCGTCCCCCAGGGCCTGGCCAGGTCGCAGTCGCGCCGCGGACGCGCCTCGCTAGAAGGACCGCGACGACCGCGTGGCTACGATGGCGTCCGTCGTGGCGTACAGGGCGTACTCGCGTGCAGTCGCGTCGCCAGAGCCACCTTGCCGCCAAACCGCAGGCAGCCGCAGGGTGGCGGGGACACGCTGCAGCACGGCGAGCAGGGCGACTCGACTCCGGGCGGGTAGCCGCGGCCAGGCTGGCCGGGGTAGGGTACCTCCCTGCGGCTCCTCCGGGCTGCTCCGGGCTGCTCCGGGCACCTCTGTTGCGGTGGGACGTGCCTCGGCGGGTCCGGTCCGGGGCCAGCGGGGCCAGGGCAGGCAAGGGGCGCTGCTGGGGCTGGGGAATGCAACAGCTGACGGGGTGACGTGGGGCCGTGGGGCTCTCCGCCGGCCGAGCGGGCCGAGCGGGCCGAACCCTGTGGCGAGGCGTCGCGGGCGAGTCGCTTTGGCGGCGGGATGGCGACATGGCGGCATCGAGGACCCGCATCTGACCGGACTGGACCGCAGACCGACGCCGGGCCCCGCCGCCCCGATATCACAAAGATCCACTCAGAGATGAAGCGACTGGCACGGCCGGCCCGGGATTGATATTCAGTGGCTGCCAACCTCGTCAGCCCCGCCGACCGCCCGTTCGACTCATAATGGAGCCCCGACAGCGCCAGCCGGCCAGGCAGCCCGCCAGCCAGCATAACTCTCGCCCGTATCACTATTTGGCGTTCCGTTTGCATAACACAGGGAGCTACATTTAAATGTGTTCCGTCTTTTTCGCACCTCTCGCTCTCGGCCCAGCCGGGCTGCACGTCCAATGCGGTGGCCTGATTCCGGGTTTGAGTGGAGTGCGGAGCTGGTGAGCACGCGCCTTGGCAAAACATGCATAAGCAGCGGCAGCAGCGGCCCCTCCGCTCCCCCGCCCCCTCCCTCTCTCATTTTCCGTGGCGCCTCCGTATTTGCATGCCTTTATCTCCGCTGACACCCCGACAAAAAGCTGTGCTGGCCGCTGCCGCCCCGCCCCGCCCCGCCCCGCCCAACCCCGCGGCGGGCCGCCTGGCCACCAGACCGGAGTGACGGCGCAGAACGGCGCGCGGGGGCGGCAGGGCGACCGGCAGCATCCCCGCAACTCGCACGGAAGCGCGGCCAAAAAAACGGCCAACTTCGTCCGAGCCACGGGCCGCCCCGCCCCGGGCCCAGCCGCCTGCTGCTGGACGTGTTCGGCGAGCTGGTGAGAAGAAGTGGGGTGGGGCCAGGCGGGGCGGTGAGAGCGGGACTCTCGTTTGAATGTGATGACTACCAGATTACTCTGCGTGTCGCACACACCACCATTGCCATTACAGCATTCGATGAATCTCAATGTGTCGCCGTCGGCGAATTCCAGGGGCGCCCTTTCGCACCGAGTCAAACGGCATTACAAAACACGGCCATCGGAAAGGGCAATGTGCCTGCAGTGATTGATGTGTGAACGACGATTCTGCAGGTTTTGGTGATGATCGCCCCAATTTAAGCTCAGGGCCGAGGCCCTTCAAGGGCCCGCTCACTTGCGGTCGTTTGGCGTTCTTCGACTTCTGGAATTGTCGCGCCCCGTTCTAGGGCCCCCCGTTCTAGGGCCCCGTTCTATGGCCCCCCGTTCAGGACCCCGTTCTACGGCCGCGGCAGCGCGGCAGACGGAACACGGGGGCGCCACAGGTGCTGCTCTAATCACTGCCTGCTAACTCGCATGATGAAGAGGGGTGGGGGTTTCCAGTTTTACGGCCGCCTAGCGAGACTGCCGTGCAGTCGTGCTAACTGGGGAATGCTAAACGCTTTGGCACATGCCCGTGGCTCGCTAACTCTCTCTCTCTTTCTCTCCCCGCGCGTGTTGGGCGCTTGAGTGGTCTTTGGAGGTCCAGAGCGCACCGCTCGCTTTCGGGGCATTACGATAGCACACGGACCACATTTATTTGGGGCAAAAATATGTGTCGTCTGTTGTGGCGAGGCGTTGTTGGGGTCCTCTCTCACTCCCTCCCTCTCTCTTTCTCTCTCTTCCTGTGTGCGTCCCGCGCTGCGGTCACGCTACGTACACAGGCAAACACGTGAGCTGGCGGTGCAGCGTTTCGGCCCTGGTATCAGGCCGAGCAACAAAGCTCCCTTTTTTTCCGAGATTCAGACATCCAAGGTGCACTCCCTGCCTGCCCCTGCCCCTGCCGCGTCCATCGATCGCTGAAAGCCTCGAGTGACTCGTCCGCGCTCCGAATGCAATGAACAACAAACAAAAGGAAAAGGCGTCATCATCGCGCAAGTTTCCGAAGAGGGGTTTGGGGCGCGTCGAACTTTCTTCCCTGCTCATAAAAAAGGGCCTTGGAGGATTTGGGTCTTGCAAGCCGTCTTTCAATTGGTCGATGCGACCGCCGACGCCGCGTTTCGGAGCGGCAGGGCGAGGCAGGGCGAGGCAGGGCGTGCAACTTTTTGTGCTGGCGTCCATGTTTCTGTCGCCATGATCGCGCACCCCTTCCACCCCCCAACCCCGCCGGGATGACGGGACTTTCCGAAAACAAACTCATGAATCGCGGCCTGGACAGCCAGACAGCCAGGCAGCCAGCTGGGAGCACCGCGGGGCGGGGCGGGGCGACTGGGTAAGGCGGGGCAGCGTGGGCGTGGGCGTCGCCACTGCACGCACTGCCTCCCCGAAAGCGAGCCTACCTCATCCCTGCTAGCCGCGTCGGCGGATCCCCGAGGCCACTCTATCCGTGCCATTCTTGTCGTGCTTCCTGGCGGCCGTGCGGCCGTCACGCGCGTGCAGGCAGGATCCGCTCAGTTTGTCCAACTGTTGAATCGGGCGTGGCGGGGCGTGGCCAGGCGTAGCGGGACGGGACGGGACGGGGCGTGCTGTTGGCTGCTTTGCCACCTCGCTGTGATTTATCGCGCTGCCACACTTTATTATTATCACCCAGTCTTCCTCTCCGTTTCGTTTTCCAACCCGATCCCTCCCTCGTCTCGCCGTTTTCCAGGTAGTGGCTTTCCCGCTCTCCGTCCCGTCCGGGCCATCTCTGCAGTGCCAGCTCCACACTGCCTGCCTGCCTGCCTGCCTGGTCCATGTTGGTCGCTGTCGACACTCAAAGTGCCGAAATTAAAAAGTGTGCTCGCGGTGCTCGCGGTGCGCTCGTCGCCCGACCAGGCCGGCCAGGCTGGCCAAGCTATCCGACCGCCGCCTTTCCCGCCAAATTGCGGCTCCTTGATTGGTGCGCCGCCAATCGCTTTTAATTCGCGCGCCCCGTTATTACCCTCATCCCTTTTAATTTTTGTTTTTGTTTATGGTTTATCATTCTCCCTTTTTTTTGCGGTGCTAAGCCCCTGTCTCACCGGATTTGGTATGCAGATTGGATTTGGCTGGGGATTATTTTGGCTAGTGTAGGGCGAATGGCCGGACAATATTTGTGGAGTCGGCCGGGCTAATATCGAATCGAGCAACGCCCGGCCAACCCGGCCCCGGCCAAGGCCGGGCGTGCCGAAGGCAGGTCCAAAGACCACCGCCCCGCAGGGCGAGTACGAGTTCCCGGCTCGGATCGGACGCGGCGGTAATTTTCATATTTTCGGGTGGACTTGAAGGATTTGACTGTAAAAACGGAGCATCCCAACTTGGAAACTCTGCTCCATAAACATGACAGCCATTCGGTGGCTCTGCAAATGGGATCTCAATTGTGTCCAAAGTGCCGCTGAAATTAGAAAGTGGGCCACGGCGCCAGCGGGCCTCGGCCGGCACCTCGGCGATGAATCACGTCCGCGGCCTCGCTGTGGTGGGGACTCGAACCCGCGTCCCTCGGTGTGGCTGTCGCTGGAGGGGCACTCGGTGCAGCACTCGTGTCAGCCGCAGGCCGCCCCCGTGGCGTTGCAGGCCGCGCAACTGACCGCCTCCTCCCCTCCGACGACCAGGACGCCGCCGTGGAGGGCGGCCCTCCTCCGAGCCCTCCTCCGAGCCCTCCTCCGAGCCCTCCTCCGAGCCCTCCTCCCCCTTTTCCCCCGACGCCCCCCTAGGACAGAATATTGCATTATTCGCCGGGGAGGTCGCTATGGCAAGCAAGCGGAGGTATATTTATTTTGCAAATAGAGCGCATCCCGAATTGGAGCAAAGCGCGCCTCTGTGTGTGTCTGTGTGTCTGTGTGGATGGGTGTGTGGGTGTGGGTGGGTGTGGCCCGCGGTGTGCGGCCCGATGCGGAGCACCTCAATTGGGTTTTCACTTTGCACCTGGTAGTCGCGCGCGACCGCGGCCGCGCTGTTGACTCAACTTCGGCGAGTGGCGGGGCCGGGCGGGGCCGCCACGTTTCAAGCGAGCAAGTCAGGCAAGCCTTCTCTTTCTTCTGTTTGCAGACGTTCTGCGTCGTGTCCAAGCGCTTCCGAAAGAACTACATCCACCGGTTCACCGCCACCAGCTCCTTCTTCGTGTTCTCGCCCTGGAACCGGGTCCGCCGCGTCTGCATCTGGCTGTCCACGAACCAGCTCTTCGACTACGTCGTCATGGCCACCATCCTGCTCAACTGCGTGTTCCTCGCCATGACTGAGCCAATGGAGCAGGCAGAGTGAGTACCGCAAAATACCAACAAAACGAGCTCGAGAAAAGACTTTAAGAGAATTTTTCTGCGACACCCATTTTTTGCTAGACTTTTTGCCCCGCCAAAATCTGGGTTTCTTTCCGGCCGTTCCATATTCAGTCGCGGAGAGCGTTCCGCGTGCGTCCGCGTGCCGCGATGTGGCGCCCGGCAGGTGTCTGAAAATAATTATTTGACAACTGTAAAAAAGCAGCGCGCAGCGTCTGTTTCTGTCTAGTTTTCGAGCGTATTCGGCAAACCCCCGTAGAGAGCGCTGGAAAAACAAAATACTAGAGGGAGCCGCGTGCCCCACATTGGAGCCGGGCCGGGGCGGGGGGGGGGGGGGGGGGGTGACTTGACAGACAGCACGCGCAGGGGCACTCCGGCGCGCTAAAGCCACTGCGCCTGCTGTGCCACTCGGGGCCGACACGCCGACAAGCCCAGTGTGTTCTTGTCGGAGCATCGCCTCCAAAGAGCCTCCTCAAAACTTTAAAGAGGCTGGGATTCGGATCTACACTATATTACGCGGATTTGATTGTCGCCCACAAAAGGCTTCCAATAAAAAAAAAATGTTGTTTTTTTTACATAAAATAGAGGGATTTGAACCCAGGAACCAGACGTTGTAATTCACGGGAAGGCATTTTTTGTGCGCATCTGCGTTAGAGTTGCCGCAGCAGGCCTTTGCGAATGCAGCGCTGGGTTTTTTTGGTGACACACTTGGCTTTGTTTTTCGCGCCGCCGTCCCGCGCCGCCGCCTCGTCGCTGCTTTGTCTCACCTTCTTCTTCTTGCACCGCCAAACCCACCCCGCCCCCGCCCCGCCCCACCCCGCCCCCACGCTGCTCCTCCGGGCAGATTTGACCAGACCTTTCGGGCGACGTGAATACACTGCTTGGCGCGGCATGCATATTTCATGACGCCGAGGCGTTCGCGGGGCTTAAGCTGAGTTCCCCACTGATTCTGACCGGCGCGCGGTACGCCACGCCGCGCCCGCCCCGCCACGCTCCGGTGCACTTTTATTCATTTGTGCGTGGTCCACACGGGGAACGCCGCGCCGGCGGCACTCCACGCTCCGCGAGGCGAACCAGGAAAACTTGCTTGGCGGAAGTCCACTCTCCACTTTCCCCGCTGCGACGCGCGCCATGCATTTTGCAGCCGCCGTTCCGAAATCGCGTTTTTATTTTTCGCGTACGGCGATTCTGTTCCGTAAGGCACTCCGGCGTGGGGGAAGGGGGAGGTTATAGACCCTGCCACCTCGGCCGCCTCGGCCGCCTCGGCCACCTCGGCTCCAGCGCCGCACCGGCGTGGCTCCGCGGGGCTCGGGCCGGGAAACATCCGCAGGCACCACCCACGGCCAGCTTCCCCCACCCCCTCCCTTCCTGAGGGACTTGCTTTACGGAAAGTTTGAGGAGAGGGGCCAGCCAGGCTGCCCGGCCTGCCCAGGTAAATGGGGCCACGCGGGCCACGCCATTAACTCCAACAATATTATTTCAGGTTCGTCTTTTTGGCCATCTACACGGCGGAGATGATCATCAAGTCGGTGGCCAAGGGCTTCATCCTCAACAAGTACACGTACCTGCGCAACCCTTGGAACTGGCTCGACTTCGTGGTCATCACGTCGGGCTACGCCACCATCGGCATGGAGGTGGGCAACCTGGCCGGCCTCCGCACCTTCCGCGTGCTGCGCGCCCTCAAGACTGTCTCCATCATGCCGGGTGAGTAGGCAGTGGCCGAAGCCGGGCCGGCAAGCGCCCGGTGGTCTAGCCCTTAATGGTAATGGTAGTGGCAGGTAGGCAGCGCCGCCAGCGCGTGGCGCACCGGTGTGGGGCGTGCTGCCTACCCCTCGCTTTGCAGGGGCTCTGACAAGACGCCGGCCAACGCCAGCCCAGCGGAGGCAAACACGGACGGACAGACGGACGGACCGACAGGCAGGCAGACAGACAGACAGACAGACAGACAGACAGACAGACAGACAGACAGACAGACAGACAGACAGACAGACAGACAGACAGACAGGCGTTTAGGCCCGTGGTGCGGTGCAAAGAGGCAGGCATGATCCGACGAGGATTAGGTAGACAAGAAGGGGAGCGAAGCGACGAGTCAAGGGCTTCAGATTTGTGAGCCTCGCCATGCCGTTCGAGTCTGTGTGTGTGTGTCTGTGTGAGCGTCGGTGTGTGTCAGGGGACGCGGTGGGACCGAGGGACGAGAGGACAGCCCCAAGGGCCCTGCCCCCCTCTCCCCTTCTCCCTCTCGCGGTGACGGCACGTGTGATAGATGGAGGCCTAGGTGAGCCCCCTCCAGGGGCTGTCGGGCGGGGCGGCGCGGCGCGGCGCGGGGCTGTGTGGACACGTATCGACCTGATTATTCATCTCCTTGATGGCAGCCGTGAGGCCATCCTGCCATCCAGACCACCTAAGCCGCAAGCAGCTCGGATCGCGACGCGAGGAATGTCAAGAGCACGAGGCACGAGGAGTAGGCGGGGGCATTAAGGTGGAATTGAGCTCCGCGACGGGCCATATACAGTCGAAGAGCCCCGTGTGTGTGCGTGTGCGCGTGTGAGTGGGTGAGTGTGTGTGCGTGCTCGTGTGAGTGTGTCTGTGTGTGATTCAGGGGGAGACGAATAACCAATTTCCAGCGCGCTATTCAGGCGGGGTGGGCGGGGTGGAACGGCACCGCTCACTTCCTTTGGCCTCTCGATGGGCTGCTCGAGGTGCGGCTGGTGTCGGCCCGTCGGCCGGTCGTCTAGAGCGAGCACCCCGAGCACCCCGAGCACCTCGAGCACCCCTGGAGTCGAGGTGCTCGACGGGCATCCGTCACTGTCGAGGCCGCCAGCGCCACGCCACGCCACGCCAGCGCCAGCCCCCGGACCGTCACCTTCCTCCACGCCACGCCGCGCCTAGGAGAAGACCCCCAGGCCGCTCATTTGGGTGCAGCCCGTGCAGCCTGCCTGCCCCGGTGCTGCCGGCACGCCCGGGCACGCCGCTTCCGGGAGGGCTGCACCGGAAGGGGAGGGGGAGCGGGGCGGAGGCGCGATTTCAAGTACGAACCGTGTTGTCTGGACGCGGCCGCCACCCTCCAGGCCTGCGACCCTGCCGAGGACCCCGGCTCGCTCCATTGGCGCCCAACCAGGCGCCAAGGAGTGCCCGCCGCCGCGCCCCGCCCCACCCCGCCCGTCTAGGCCACTGAACCGAAAGGCGAGCAATACCGCAGGACAAGTCCCGGGGTCTTTATTGCCTGTCGACGCGCACGACGACCACGACGACAACGACGCCCCGAACGGCTCTCTCGGCACGCACGCCGTCAAGGCCGTCAAGGTGCCCGGCGAGCCGACGGCGCCGAAAGGGTACCCCTTTCCCACCTTTTTTCCGAATCGCAAGTGCCGCGCCAAACTTTGGGCAGGCCGTTTGCGGGACTGTTTAAAACGGCCTCCTCGCTACAGGTGTGTCGATCTGCTTGGAATGTCGCCCCGCTGGCGGGCCGCCGCTCCGCCCCTCCTTCCTCGCGATCCGGTTGCAGCGCGCTGCACCTGTGGCTGTAATGCCTCTGGCTCTTGACGTCCTGCCGCCCATTGTGCTCGCTCGCTGCAGGCCGCCCACGCTGACGGCCGCACTTGGCTGCACGTGCTTTTAATCTCCCCGTCGTCGTGCCGCTACCCCACCGTGAAACCGTGAAACCCTCGGGCGCCGAAACGAAAACGGAATACGGCTGCTGCTGCTCGGCGCTGCTGCGGCGTGGGTTAATTTTCGAGTGGCGCGGTGGGTCCCGAGGACGCCGAGGACACCGAGGGCAGGGGCGCTCGACACCGGAATGCGGTCGTGTGTCGCGTCGCCCGAGAGGAGCGGCGCTGCTGGCGCGCCATGGCGAGGCGAGCTGGCTAGAGCTGGCCGGGCAGCGCGCGGTTAGGGACGGAAGAGCCTGGTGGAAACGGCGGAAGTGGCGGAGGGGAAGGGGAGGGGGAAGGTACGCCACTGGATGTGGCGCACGTGCTGGGGGAGGGGGGGGAGGGGAGGGCGCCCTCCAAGCTCGACTAGTGGCCGCACGCAGACACGCCATTTGTCCAGGCAAAGTAGTGTGCCAAGCACGAGGGGGCCGCGCGGGGGGCGGCATGGTGGCGGCATGGCGGCGGTGTGTGAGCCCCACACTGTAGGCCCCAGCGGCCCACGGCAGCGACGGCAAGAACCCCTGCGGATTTTGTAGCCCGCGCACATTGCGGGTCATCGCCGCAAAGGAACGCGGCAAGGTGGAAAAAGTGCGTGTCTTTCTTTTGGCGCGCCGCGGCGGAGGCCGGCTCACCAGCTCTTCGGCACCGTCGTGGGCCTCGGCCCGCCCTACTTCCGCAAAAACAAAAAAAAAAGACGTCTAAAAAAAAGGATTGCAGGTAAAAATTAAAAAGTAAAGCAACAGAAGCAGGGGCCTGAACGAACATCGGCTGACTGTTGTGCTTGTTGAACGTGGGCCTGACTACCGGGCGGACGAGATTGTTCCTCCCGAATCTGTGCCTTACACTGCACAAGCCCTGCTGCGGTGGTTGTTGTTGTTGTTGTTGATTTCGTTTTCGTTTTTGTTCGTCCGTGAGCTCAGCTGCTCAGGGTGAGTGGGAGAGAAAGAAGTCAGTGCGTGCGTGTGTGCGAGTTGGCGCGCCAGTGCGTGTGTGTGTGTGTGTGTGTGTGAGTGAGTGGGAGTTCGCGTGCGTGTGCGTGCGCTGGGCCGAATGGGCGTCGAAATAACGTTACCGCCGCTACGCACGCACGCCCCCTGCACACGCACACGCGCCCGCCGCGGCCAGCCGTGACGCGTAAAACAACAACAACAACACTCCGTTGTTTTCTTGTTTCAACCGGCTTGCACTCGATGGAGAGAGCGGCAGGGAGCGACAGAGGGGGACAGAGACGGAGGGGGCGTTAAGTGGAATCCCATACGGCGCCTGGTGTGCGGGCTGGGCTGCGGCGTGGCTGCGGGCGATCGGGCCGCAGAGGCGCACTGGGCGGCCGGCGCGGCCCGGGATGAAGTGTTGCATGGGCCACTTTGCGGCTGCAGCCCCCTCCCCCTCCCCCAAGCCAGTTGCCAGTGGGCCTGCGGTTACCGACTTGGCGCCGACTCCTTTTCCTCTCTCGTTGGCAGTGGCGCGGCAGGGGCCCCCTTTTAATTTTGTTCCGATACGGTGAGCCGCGCGGCGCGGCGCGGCGGTCCTCCGGCCCCTTCCACCCCGCCCAGCCCCTCCACCATTTTGCTCCGATTCGCAATCGAATATTCCCGCATTATCCGCCTCGCCTTCCTCGCGCCGTGTCGCGCTGCCGCTCTCCGCAGCGGGCCGAGGACGCCGAGGACGGGGAGGGCGAGGGGGAGGACCGGGCGGGACATTTCGAAGCAGACTGCGGACTTCGGACTGCGGACCACCGGACCGCTGCCGTAGCCGGGGGCGCCAACGCCCAAATCTCCAATTCGTGTTCTCGGAGCGCAAACCGGCAAACCCAATCAAGTTTAGATACTTTTTTCGGAGAGAGCGTCTGACTGTCTCGTCTGTCTGACTGCCTGTCTGTCTGTCTGTCCGCCCGCCCGCCTGCCTGAGGCCGTTGCCGCGGCGGCGGAATGATGGAGAAAAGTGGCTGCGGCGTGCGCGGGGATTCGAACCGCCGCCGCGCGAACGGAGACGTCGCTAGGGATTGCGAGCCGCGCGGCACCGCGTTAGCATGCGGGCCGCGACCACCCTGACCTCAGCTCGCTAAACGGCCCTCGGGGCCGCGGGGCTTTGCCACGGTCAGGCTGACACACTGGCAGACGGACAGGCAGACAGGAAGGCAGACGGACAGACAGACAGACAGACAGACAGACAGGCCGACCGAGAGGTCGCAGTCCGACAAAGGGGATCGTGTTGCGAGAAAAACGAAAACCCCGGCGAGGAAGATTTAGTCAAGGAGCCGCATCGCGCCCCGTCTGGGCAACCCAAGGGGCAACCGATTCGCCCCGAACATGGAGAAGGTCGGCGACGAAAAAGCGCGCGTCTTCCGGTATGCAGTCTCCAATGTGTTGAACGTAACGCGTCTTTTTCCCGGCCACGCCCCGCCACGCCCCGCCCGCCACGCCGCAGTGTGGGGCGCAGTGTACCGCAATGGGGGGGTCCGGCCCACTCACCCAGACGTTATTCACCCAAAACCCAACAGGACTAAAGTCAATACACCCACGGCCAATTCGCCCTCTAAAATTCACCCGAGGTCCGTTAACCCTTTCTCGATCTCACCCACGTCAAAATAATTCGCCCAAGCCCACTGTTGGAGCGAGGAGTATTGCTTAAAGAAAGGGGTATTGTCAAAAGCCACAGAGCGGTTGGTGATCGGCCAGGGAAAACTATTCCGGCAGCTGGGAGGGCCAGGGAAAACTATTCCGGCAGCTGGGAGGGTCAGGGAAAACTATTCCGGCAGCTGGGAGGGCCAGGGAAAACTATTCCGGCAGCTGGGAGGGCCGGGGAAAAACTATTCCGGCAGCTGGGAGGGCCAGGGAAAACTATTCCGGCAGCTGGGAGGGTCAGGGAAAACTATTCCGGCAGCTGGGAGGGTCAGGGAAAACTATTCCGGCAGCTGGGAGGGTCGGGGAAAAAACTATTCCGGCAGCTGGGAGGGCCAGGGAAAACTATTCCGGCAGCTGGGAGGGCCAGGGAAAACTATTCCGGCAGCTGGGAGGGCCAGGGAAAACTATTCCGGCAGCTGGGAGGGCCAGGGAAAACTATTCCGGCAGCTGGGAGGGCCAGGGAAAACTATTCCGGCAGCTGGGAGGGCCAGGGAAAACTATTCCGGCAGCTGGGAGGGCCAGGGAAAACTATTCCGGCAGCTGGGAGGGCCAGGGAAAACTATTCCGGCAGCTGGGAGGGCCAGGGAAAACTATTCCGGCAGCTGGGAGGGTCAGGGAAAACTATTCCGGCAGCTGGGAGGGCCAGGGAAAACTATTCCGGCAGCTGGGAGGGTCAGGGAAAACTATTCCGGCAGCTGGGAGGGTCAGGGAAAACTATTCCGGCAGCTGGGAGGGCCAGGGAAAACTATTCCGGCAGCTGGGAGGGCCAGGGAAAAACTATTCCGGCAGCTGGGAGGGCCAGGGAAAACTATTCCGGCAGCTGGGAGGGCCAGGGAAAACTATTCCGGCAGCTGGGAGGGCCAGGGAAAACTTTTCCGGCAGCTGGGAGGGCCAGGGAAAACTATTCCGGCAGCTGGGAGGGCCAGGGAAAACTATTCCGGCAGCGGGAGGGCCAGGGAAAACTATTCCGGCAGCTGGGAGGGTCAGGGAAAACTATTCCGGCAGCTGGGAGGGCCGGGGAAAAACTATTCCGGCAGCTGGGAGGGTCAGGGAAAACTATTCCGGCAGCTGGGAGGGCCAGGGAAAACTATTCCGGCAGCTGGGAGGGCCGGGAAAACTATTCCGGCAGCTGGGAGGGCCAGGGAAAACTATTCCGGCAGCTGGGAGGGCCAGGGAAACCTATTCCGGCAGCTGGGAGGGCCAGGGAAAACTATTCCGGCAGCTGGGAGGGCCAGGGAAAATATTCCGGCAGCTGGGAGGGCCAGGAAAACTATTCCGGCAGCTGGGAGGGCCAGGGAAAACTATTCCGGCAGCTGGGAGGGCCAGGGAAAACTATTCCGGCAGCTGGGAGGGCCAGGGAAAACTATTCCGGCAGCTGGGAGGGCCAGGGAAACTATTCCGGCAGCGGGGAGGGCCAGGGAAAACTATTCCGGCAGCTGGGAGGGCCAGGGAAAACTATTCCGGCAGCTGGGAGGGCCAGGGAAAACTTTTCCGGCAGCTGGGAGGGCCAGGGAAAACTATTCCGGCAGCTGGGAGGGCCAGGGAAAACTATTCCGGCAGCTGGGAGGGCCAGGGAAAACTATTCCGGCAGCTGGGAGGGCCAGATTCCGGCAGCTGGGAGGGCCAGGGAAAAATATTCCGGCAGCTGGGAGGGCCAGGGAAAAATATTCCGGCAGCTGGGAGGGCCAGGGAAAACTATTCCGGCAGCCGGGAGGGCCAGGGAAAACTATTCCAGCAGCTGGGAGGGTCAGGGAAAACTATTCCGGTAGCTGGGAGGGCCTATGAGCTATATAGCTAAAAAAAGTAAAAAAAAATATTCTGGGTGAACAGCTTTCTGGGTCAATCGCCCGTGGGTCAATTACACCTGGGTGAAATACTTGGGGGTGAATAGCGTATGGGTGAAAATGCTTTGGGTCAATCGCACCTGGGTGAGTCGGCCTAGAACCGCAATGGGCGCAGCGGGCGAGCCAGACCGCGCCGCGGCGAGGGCTGGCGAGGGCCGCTGGCGAAGGCGGGCCAGACTGTGGCGCGTGGTCGTCGATGAGGGTCGCCGATGAGGCTCCCCGATAACCGAGGCGCGGTTTACGGACCGCCTCCTCGAGGTCCGGGCCGGGTGGCCCCGAGGGAGGCCACAAGGGAGGCCACAAGGGCGGCCACAGGGGCCATGGGGCGACGATTACGCTGAACGACGCGGACCGCGCTCAGCGGGGCAAAGCGAACTGCGGGAGCGGCGCTTCACCGACCACCTGCCGCGCCAGGCGTTGCCACATAAGGAGGCGAAAATTCCCACGAAGCACCAGAGTCGAAAGGGTTGGCAACCTCAGCCAGCCGGCTGAAGAGTCCAGAGCCCCGCACCGCGCCTAGCACCACACCTCGATGATTAATGTGCACACAAACTGGATTGGATAAATGCCGAAATGCCGCGCTGGCTTTCAGCCGACCACTGTGTGCGTCCACTGTGCGAGCCGCGCGTTTCTCCGGATGATTTAGGAATCGGGTATCGGGTGGACTGCTTGTGTATACGAGAGTGCCTGCGTGTGCGTGTGTGTGTGTGGGGGGGGGGTCCTCCTGCGTGCGCAAGGCTCCCATTTGGAGCGCGGTTCAGAAATGCCGTGATTGAAATTACCGCAGGCCCTTACAGTGTGGGGGCTTGGAGACTCGGCTTGCAACTCCGCCGCTCCACGAGATACCCGAAAAAGGCAGCGCTAGGCAACGCGCGGCAGTGGAATTAATTTCCGGTGGGGCGGTGGTCCGTGGCGAGCGGCGCGGGGCGGCGTCCTGGCGGCGTCCCGGGAAGGCCAGGAGGGCCAGGAAGGGGTGCCGGCAGAGTGGAGCCGCTATCTGCGGGTACCCAACACCCCACCCAATAAGGACGTACGACGTGTCGGACGAGTCCCACGGACTCGGCGGCAGCGAGGCGCCAGCTTCGCAGAAATGAGTCACTTTAATGTTGCCTGCCATCGAGAAAACCAGACCAGATAACGGAAATTTGACATGAAGTACGAACAGCGTGACGATTTTTTTTTTCTTTTCGTGAATGCAGAGCACCCTGGTTCAACCCTCTGCCTCGGGCATCTCTGACGCAATCTCTGACTGGTCCTCTGTTCTCCCTCCAGGGCTGAAGACCATCATCAACGCGTTGCTGCACTCCTTCAAGCAGCTGGCCGAGGTCATGACCCTCACCATCTTCTGCCTGATGGTGTTCGCGCTCTTCGCGCTGCAGGTCTACATGGGGGAGCTGAGGAACAAGTGCGTGCGCAACATGGTCACGGAGAACATCACGCACGCCGAGTGGCGAGAGTAAGTAAAGTAGTTTTCAAACATTTATTAAAGTTTGAAAAATGAAGTAGAAGGGAGAAAACATTGGGGGCTCTCAGTGAGTGGTCTCTGAAGGGCCCGACGGTGGCAGTGGCCTCGGCAGTGGCCTCGGCAGCCGTTCATCGCGAGCTGAAAAGGAGAGAGGGCTGCCTGCGCTGCCGGCCGGTCAAAGAGCTGTGCAGCGGGGCGGGGCGCGGAGCAGCAGCGCGGCACAGCCCATTACGGCCGGCCCGGCAGAAGGCAGAATCCTGTCCAAACAGCCCCGGCCCCGCCTCGTCTCCAGTCCCCAGGCGATACCGATGCTGCTGCTGCTGCCGCTGGCCCTACGTGCAAATGACCCCACCGCCCGCGCCACGCCCGAAGAATCCCCCCTGCCCCTGCCCCTCCCCCGGGCTGTCCCCAAAGGGGTCCCCGAAGGGGAGACCCAGCCCCCTTGTTCCGCCCGACCCGCGCGCTCGGCGATCGGATCCGATAGGGCTCCGTGGCGGGGGCGTTTTATGCATTCTCGAATATGATGACTGCTCAGATTCCACGCCCCTCCCCCCTTCCCCCCGCGGTCCTCGGCCTCGCCCCGTGGGGGCCTTAATGGAATATGGACGGCCAGGCATTCACTCGCCATCTCTAATCAAGTGTGCGCCCCCCCCCCCCCTGGCGGTAATCACAGGTAAATGGATGTCGAGATTGGCCGAGCGGGTTAATACGTTGATGGGGCGATGCCGGCGTGGCCGGCAATGCCGTGCCGCGGTGGCGGGGCGGGCATTAGCATACCGCGGGGCTCAGGAGGCTTCGCGCTTCCCAGCCGGCAGGCTGATTCCGAACAGTGTTTTCGTCGCCTCGCGGGGCGTCGCGCTGGGGGCGCGGGGGGCGCGGGGGGCGCGGGGGCGCGGGGGGCGCGGGGGGCGCGGGGGCGCGGGGGCGCGGGGGGCGGGGGGCCGGCGGGGGGCGCGGTAGCGGGGCCCAGCACGTGCGGCGGCCCCAGTTAGCATGCCGTTCGCCCTAATGACCTGCTGGCGCGCCTCCTGGTCGTCCCGTCCCGGCAGTCCCGGCTTCCTGCAGACGGTCTTCAAGGCGAGACCCAGACGCCTCCGTTGGCCGCCGCGCCGCCGCCGCGCTGACGAGATGGTCCCCAGGCCCCCGGCAGCCTCCCCTTGCGGAGTCTCAATGTGTCCCTTCTTTGTGCGCAGCTGGGTCTGGGACGAGGAGAACTGGATGCGGAACGACAACGACGACCCGATCCTGTGCGGCAACGTCACCGGCGCCAGGTGAGTCCGCACAGCCTGCCGTCTCAGCGAGCCTCGTTCATGCTGAGTAGAACAGCCCGCGATCGGTGTCCTTATGGCTCCCTCTCCAACGGCGTCTCTCTGCACAGACACTGCCCGACGGGGTTCACCTGCCTGGGCGTGGGGCCAAACCCGAACCACGGCTTCACCAACTTCGACAACTTCCTGTGGTCCATGCTGACCACGTTCCAACTCATCACGCTCGACTACTGGGAGAACGTGTACAACATGGTGCTGGCCTCGTGCGGGCCTATCTCGGTCTCCTTCTTCACCGTCGTCGTCTTCTTCGGCTCCTTCTACCTCATCAACCTGATGCTGGCCGTCGTCGCGCTCAGCTACGAGGAGGAGGCCGAGATCACGCAGGAGGTAAGACCGTTCGGCGATTCCACACTGTCTCGTCGCTCTGTCTCTCTCGCGCCCCGCGGAACGTCCCGCGAGTGCGAGAGAGGCGGCGCTGCGTGGTCGCGCAGAGGCCATCGCTCACGGCGCCGGAAGTCCAGGCAGAGCGACGCAGAGCGACGCAGAGCGACGCAGAGCCGGCCGGAAGTCTCATGGAAAGGCGTGGCGCCCGCCGCGCCCCGCCCCGCCCCGCCAACAGCGCGGCCACCCCGATGAGGCCTTTGTGATCGCGGCCTGCGTCTAGTGGGCAATCTGCCCTCCCCCACGGCCCCCTTGCTCCAGGTCAGGGCCTGGCCCAGGCCGGCCCTGGTGAGGGCGACCCGACCCACCCGAACGCCCGAATCGAGTGTTGGTGCGCTGCTGGCACGTTTGTTCCGTCTTCGTCTTTTTGCCTTGCTGCCGCACCCGACGGGGCGGGGCGGGGCGCGCCGCCCTGGCCGGACTGTGGGGCGCTGCGGGTACACGGAAAATCTCATTCAACGAACGTTAATGAAAGCAGATGATCCGTCGCGTTTCACAACTGCTGTAATAGCCGAGAGGTTAGAGACGTGGGATCGAGTTACCGCAGGCGGGCGTTCGAATACCAGCGTCACATACGTTTTTTCGACTTACTATCCTAAGGGTGGTGGTTCGAGACCATCCGAGCGGAGCCGTGTGCAACAGACCCACATGCCGGAGGTTCGACTCCTAACAAATATTTCCATTTAATTTTACTGCCTCACCCAGTGCGGTTGAAACCCGTGAACGTGAGCCCACTCCGTGCGTGGGACGTGGTGGTCCAGGGAGTAGAGGCGTCGGTTCCCAATGCTAGGGTCGGCGGTTCGACTCCCCCAACTTCTTGCGAAATTTTGACCGGGTCGGTCGAGTCCTGTTGCGTCAAGAACCCACCTCACGCCTGTCCCCCTATCATGGGCCGTGGTGGCCGAGAGCGTAAAGTCGTGTGATCCCGGTAGCGGGGTCCGGGGATCGAATCTCATCATTTCGTTACATTTTTCGACTGCCTTCCTCCCACTGCAACTCAAACCCTTCGTCCAACACGCTGCCAGACGTACAAGCGTGATAGCGTAGTGGTCAGAGTCACATTCACCTGGCCACTCCGCTGTGGGTGTCTAAAAAGCAATCCGCTTCGGCGGGTTGGCCTCGGCACTGGAGCGATGGAGTATTTGATCCATCAATCCAGACCACCCGGTGTGTGGTTGCGGGTGGTGCCTCCTTGACTTGTCGGGGAGGCGATGATAAGTCCTTTGAAGCTGGCCTAAAACGCTGTATGTTCGGTACGGGAGCGCCGGACAGTGGGGGTACCATGGGGTACACAACCAACCCTACGAAAACAAGAAGCTCCCACCAAACCTCTTCTCTGTCTGAGTCTCTCTCTGTCTCTCTGTCGTCTCACTCTACGTCCCGCCCCTCTAAGAGCTTCGTACTGGGTGCTCTCACCCAGCTGCCTGAGCTTTGGGGTCCTACTGGGTCCCCCGGCGAACGCTTAGAGTCGCTGACGGGATTAACCCCAGGTACCTGATAGCACCGGTTCCCATCCCGAACACCGAAGTAAAGCAGGAGGCCTCCCCATTAAGACTGGGGAGGGGGTGTAGAGTTCAAATTTTTTTTCTTTTCCCTTTCAAATTTCTCAGTCAATACTCGTTCGGTTTCCTTATACGGGGTAGTATGCGGGCTCATTCCAAAGATAGTAATTAAAATTGTGTATGAAAAAAAATATATAGACCCGAGCGAGGTGGCCGGTGTTGGTACTTTGGTACTAGCCGTGCCGAGCTGTGGCCTGCACCGCCCGCCGCCGAGCCCGAGCTGGCCCGAGTGCCCCGGGCCGGGCCGAATCGGGAGGCATTGTTGCGCGATATAAGTATGTTTCAAGTGTGAAGGTATCATCTGCTAAAAAACAATTATTCTAAAAGGTCGGATCGAGATAAAGACGCGATGCCGCGCGTTGTGCAGCGTTAACAGTCGCTTCGCTTGCTTCGCTGCCGTGCTTCCATCAATCACTGCTCAAACTAACGCGTTATACTTTGTGTTTGTTTCGCGCTGGTGATGTATACACGCTGCCGAGCGCCGCAGAGCACATACATTTCGTTGTTCGTTGTTTGTTTGTTTTGTTCTGTTTAATTCGGGGCAGCCGTCGGGGCGGCTGGCGTGGCAGCGGTATTGAAAAATGTCGCTCAATTAATTGCCCACTTTTACAACTTTTTCCGTTTTGTTCGCGGGCCGCGAGGCGAGGTGCCGCGCAGTGCCGCGCCACGCGCTCTGATTGGCTCGTTACTCAGTCGTTGCAACGCAGCAGAAGCCGTGCTCGTCGTAATGATGTGCGCAGGGGAGGGGGAGAGGGCGGGCACAAGTGTGCAGCTTTATAAACGGCCCTCCTCGGAGCGGGTTGACTCCTCCGGTCTTTTATTTGAATAACAAATGCTGCCCCCGTTCTTCGCTCTTCGTTCTTCCACTCTCCTCCTTCGCATGTCTCTTTCGCCCTGTTGCAAGTCGGCGAGCACGTGAGCGCGGGGGCGGGGCTGGCCGCAAGGGAACGGCGGGGCGCTGTTTGATGCGCGCGCAAGTATTAGTGGAACTGCTGTTCGGCCCCTCACGAGTCGTTCCCAAGAAGGCGCAGCGCATGGCACTCACAACCACCGCCTCACCTCGACTTGTTCCCCAACAAGAACAAGTCGTTCTCGCGATTTGCGACCGCCGCGTCGTGATGAAGCTTAGTGCCGCTGCTGTCCGCATTGTCCATTTCTTTTCCTTTTTTGTTCTTTTTTGTCCCCGCGGCTGTCCGACGCAGCGGCGGCCGTTCCCGTTCCCATCAGTCGATGGCGGTGCGCGGCGAGGCCCACTGGTGCGGCCCACTGGTGCGGCCCACTGGTGGGGCCCACGGCCCGTGTGAGCTGCGTGCTGCCTGCCGGGCAGTGCCGGCCCGCCGTGCGGTGTGCCCCTTTTTTGTGTCGCCGCTTGGAGCGGACAGGCCCACTTTGGACTGCACACGGGTGCTGCTCCACGGCGAAAAAAAAGAGAGAGAAAAGATTAGAGGGGTCGCTTTCACACAACGAAATAAAACATAGGGCGGCGCGTTTTCTTTGAAACATTTAGAGCGCGGTGCGAAAAGCCTGACGCCGTCTCTGACTTTTCTAACCCCTGTGGTTTTCGTTCCGCCGCCCCGCCGCGCCCCGCCGCGCCCCGCCACCCGAGAACAATCGGCAGGCATTAATGGACGGGACAAAGGAGGGGCTTAGTGGGAGAGAAAGAGAGAGAGAAAGAGCAGGAGGGGTGATTGCGCGGAGGCTTGCGAGACGGGGCGTGCCTTTGTGCCCCGCGTTGACCACCGAGACCCAAATTGACGGGTCGGGCCGCCCCGCCCGACCCGTCCCGCCCCGCCCCGCCCCGCCCCGCCCCGCGCACGACGACGCCCCTCCATCCTTTTTCTTGTTTTCCCTTTCGCTCTCGCTTTGCGCTTCGCTCTGCGCCGAGCTTTGCCGCCAAGAGCATCATCAGTGGCCCGTTGTGTGGTTCCCGTCATAGGGCAGTGGCGGACGGACCTGGCAGGACGCTCCCTGCGGCAGCGCCTCGTCTCCTCTGTCTCTCTCGCACCCTTACGGTGGCGCGACTGCGAGAGAGACAGGACGGCGCAGCTGCCCGAGCCACTCGGGCGCACGGCGTAACGAGGTATCGCGACGGAGCGCTCCGCAGCGTCCCGCCTTGCCGTGATGAAAAGTGTGGCCGGGCCCCGGGCCGCGCGACGCACAATGGATTCCATATTACCGTACTTTATGGAGACGAGAAGCGAAACTCAATAACGCCACCGCGATGGCTTCGGCGGCCGCTGTCTCTGCCGAATCGATGGGACCGCGCGAACCGCGCGAATCGCGCCACTCGAACTCGGTAAATTGCCTGTGGAAGCGGACTGGGGCCTTTTGGAGCCTTTCGGAGCGTCGCAGGCAGTCGTCATTCGCCATTGCCACTCGCAGCAGTGCGGCTGCCGGGCTGCCAGGCTTCCACACGTGTGCACCGCGCCGCTTAAAGCTCCCCAAGGCCATGGCCACGAGTGGCAGCAGAGTCTCTCTCGCACTCACGGGGCGTTCTGTGTCGAGCGAGAGAGACGGAGCGACGAAAGGCTGTCCTTCCCACCACGTGCCCTGTTGGCTGCGACGAGTCACCGACGACCTTCTGAACCTGTTCCAGGAGCGGCGCAAGGACCTGACGGACCACCGCGACGACTCCACCTTCAGCTTCGACCCCTCGCGCATCCCCATCAAGACGCTGGAGAAGGGCAAGGAGGCGCGCAAGAAGATCGACTCGCGCAAGGGGGTGCTGCTGGCCAGCTACTCCCGCAAGAAGTCGCGCCGCCGGAAGAAGACGCGCTCTTCTGGAGGCCGCGGGGGCAACGGCAGTGCCGGGGGCGGCGGGGGCGGCGGGGGCGGCGGGGGCAACGGTGCGCAGGACGACACCGTCTCCCGGCGCTCCGGGCAGTCCCGGTCCGCTACCCCCAGCCCCCGGCACAGCCCCCGCCACAGCCCGCGGCACAGCAACTCCAACCCCGTGGTGGCCGTGGCCGAGGCCGAGGCCGTCAGGCAGAAACAGGTGAGTCATCGCCTTACCTAAGTTAGCCTGACCTAACCTGGACCGGTATGTTGACCGAACCTCGACTCGGCCCGCAGGGTCAGTCCCCTCCGGGGCAGCAGGACAACGGGCACGAGGCCGGCGGGCAGCAGCCGCTGCAGCAGGGCGAGGATCCGGCCGCGCCGCCCGCCGCGGCTGACAGCGGCGACGCGCAGCAGCAGCCGCCACAGGCACCGCAGCCCGCGCGCCACACAGTTGCCACACGCCGGGGCCGGGGCGGTGGCGGCGCGGCGTCAGCCCGCAGGGCCTGCAGGGCCAGCAGGGCAAAGCGCTGTCGCCGCCCGCAGCGCACCACCCGCCGCCGCACCCGCTGCCGCCGCACCTGCAGCCCGACATGCTGCACCCCTACAACGCCCTCGGTGAGTACGGCGGAGTAGCAGCCAACTTGCCGACGCGCTGTCGTCTCTCTCGCGCTCGTGACTCGTGGGGCGTATCCTAATGGTGCGAGAGAGACAGCATGAATCCCTGGGATCAGACTACAGGTGGCTTACGGAGAGGCGCGCCAGGCGCGCTGGGCCGCACCCCACCCCTCCCCTAGCGGCAGGCAGCAGCTGTGCATTAGTTGTTGTCACTCAGAGTGGCTGCTGGCGCTGCTCGGAGTGGCCGCCGCACTGCCTTACCACTGCCTTGGCACTGCCGCGCCAACGTTCGCCCCCGTGTCGCCGGGCCTTGCCGGGCCTTGCCGGGCCCCAGCCATCTGCCTGCCGGCCCCGCCTGATTTATGAAGCGGCCTTGCGAGGCTCCGCGCGCGAGGCTAGGCAAGGCGTTCGAACACATCCAATATCAGCAATGCGATTTAAGACTTTGGGCCCTATCTGCTCATATCCAGCCGGCTGGCGGGCCGGGCTTATCCTCGGTGGGTTAGTCGGCAACCCGGCCTCGGTGAACACATGGCCAAAGTTTGTATCTGATGTGGAGTAACATGATCTGTCGACCGGTTTAATTAAAACCGCTATATCTTCTCGGAATCGGTAATAATCCAAAGTGGAGCGCTGCGCGCAGCCAGCCGAGCAGCGCAGGGCGAGGCGGGGCGGGGCGCGGCGGGGCGGGGCGGGGCGGGGCGGGGCTGGGCCGCGCAGCCACTCATGCGAGCTCAGAGGCGCCCTGCCCTGCCCTGCCCTGCCCTGCCCACCCCTGCCCACCCCTCGCAGTGGGCTCAGCCCCCAATCTGTTTCCCAGCCCGGTGTGCACCTCATAGCACCACCGATTTATCTGGCCATGACACAGCGGTGTGTTTTTCCTTCCCCATTCCCTTCTCTCTCCCTCCCTTTCGCTCCCTCTCTGCCCCTCTCACTCTCACACCAAACCGTTTGGGGCAGGCCGGCAGGCCCACGGTGCTTTTCGCGCCGGCAACGTTCTTGTTTTTCGCATCGCTGTTTTGTGCGTTCCTTTTTCAGCACCGAACCTTTTTTTCTTTTTTTTACCTTGAGCGTGTTCGCCGACTCTAGCCAGTCGAATTGATTTTTTGAGTCGTTTGTTTCGCGTTTCTTTCCTTCTGTTTATTTCCCGCGCTTCTAAACTCGTTTACGTCGCCGCGCTGCGCTCACACGCTCTTCCCCACGATGAATTGCGTCACTTTTGCAGCGAGGGAGCCGGGACAGCTTTTTGCTCCGCTCCGTCCCGTCCGCCCCTCTGTCTCTCTGGAGTCTCTTCGCTCCGCGTCACGGCGCGGGATACATCCTTCAGCCATTCCTTTTCTTTCCTTATTTCAAACAAAACATTCGCTTCTTTTCATTGGAGTTTGTATTTGAACGTTTGAAAAACTTTGGGAAAACTTTCGCGCGGCACGGTCTCTGGTCGGTGGGTGGGTCGGTGGGTCGCCGCGCTAGCCGCGTCGCTTTCTTCGTACTCTCCGACAGTTTTATGAAATAAAATACGCTGATGACGGCGTGACCTATTCCGCGCCGTGCCGCGCCGTGCCGCGCCGCACCGCGCCGCGTAGCTCTGCTCCCCCCCCCCTCCCCCGCCTCACTTCCTTCACTTCTTTCCCTTCATTCTTCAGCCCCACCCCTCGCAATTACGTCAGCTATGACCCGATTTGCCAGCTTTATCCGGCGCTGCGCCGCGCTCGCCGCGCTCGGCGGGGCTGCGTCCGCTCCGTCGCGCCGTCTCTCTCGCACTCGCTGGAACGTGGGGCGCCCCTCGGCGGCCGTGGGGGGGGGGGGGGGGGGGGGCGAGCGAGTACGAGGGAGACGGCGCGACGACGCTCGCCTCGGAGACAGCCCGCAGCCAATCCGCGGGACCGGTGATGGTATCGCGTGCCGACAATGGAATAAAGTAATGCGCTTTTCGCCAAGGGCGACGACCAGCGATCAAGGGCTGCCAAGGGGAGGGGAAGGGCTGCGCGCCGGAAGGGTGCGAGCAGGACGACGCGACACCCGGCCGAATATCTCCGCTTCGACGGCCGCGGCGCCGCGGCCGAGCCAAAGGCATGCACTTTCCGCAGTGAGTTAGTCCTCGGCCCGTCCCGCCGCCGGCCGTGCCGTCCTCTCTGTAATTTACTTAAACGCCATTAAGCGCGTCGCGGAGGCTCGGAGACTCGGAGGCGTCTAGTCGCCAAGTTGCCAGATCCTCGAACACTGCGGCGGACTTGTCCCGGCTTACGGCCGCCACGCTCCACGATCCCCGCGATCCCTCTGGAGATATACGAGCTGCCGGAGCCGGGCCCGGCCCTGGCCGCCCTGGCCGCCCTGGCCGCCCTCCGCTACTTTCCGAAACAGCGGCCCAATTGTTACCCGAGAAAACAGTGTCGCTGCCGCCAAACCGCCAACCGACGGCATCCGCGGCCAGAAAAACAGTGATGACCTTGTGCGTGACCTTCCGTGACCTTGACGTTCCAGGAGGACGCAGCATGCTGGGCAGCCGGCAGGGCAGCTCCAACAACAGCGAGGGCAACAACCGTGAGTCTTCCCTGGACGACAGCGGCGTCGTGGACGACCACGAAGACCACGAAGACGGCGACCTCACCTCCGAGGACGTCGCCCCCAGCGTGGTCCACGTGTGCGCGCCGGTGAGTGTCCGGGCCGCGGCCGTCGCAGTGCACGCAGTGCGTCCCCGAGGACCGAGGACTACCGAGGACCTGCGGCCACTGCCGCCGCTCACTGACTGTCCTCTCGGGGCCGCGCGGCACGGCACGGCCGGCCGCAGGAACGGAAAGCTACTGGAGAGCTTTCCAAGAGTTGAGCTGGAGCCCCCGGGGGCCGCTCCGCCGACCGGGGAACACTGGACAGCTTGTTCCGGGGTCGTAAGGGAGTCCGTGAACACTGCAGCAGTTTGGACAGGAGAGAAAAAAATGAATGGCTGTGGCTACTCGATCCCGGAACCTTGGCGACCGCGCGCTATGGACCCAAACAACACGGCCATGGCGAATTTACCAGTGCACCTGTAACTCTTTTTCTGACCCTACAGCGACCGGAGCTGGTGACGGTGAGCGCGCCGCCTCAGACGACGACGCTGAGGACCAAGGACAACAAGGAGATGAAGGTCCTCAAGTGCAACGGCGTGAGCCCCAACCTGAACAAGCGCCTGGCGTACAACCTGCCGCAGGACTACCTGTCGCATGTCGTCGTCCTGGGTACGCCTTGCTTCGGCCCCGTTACCCACCCCTTTTTTTTTAAATGAAAATTGCCACTGGGGGTACACTGATGTGAGTGCAGCCCTTGCCGGCCCGCGCCGCCCCGGCTGCATTTGTGGAATTAGCGCGACGCGGTGCGACGCGCGGCACGCGTAGCGCCGACAGCCCAGCGACAGCGCGGCGCAGTGTCGCAGTGTCGCAGTGTCGCACACAATGGGCGGCGCGACTCACAGAGTATGCTGTGACGTGACACTTGACGGAGGGGCGCGGTGGCGTGGCCGTGCCCCCGGCGCCCCCGGCCCACGCCCAAGCCCTCCCCGGCCCGCTGGCTGTTTTATTATTTGTCGTAGTGCTGCCCTCGCGTGGCGTGGCGTGGCGTGGCGTGGCGTGCCCCGTCACATCGTGCCGCGCCGCGTCGCGCCTTTGTCTTATTATCCCGAGAGTGCCCGCCCCGGCATTGTCTGCCTCTGCCGCGGCCATGGCGGGCTGCTGCTCGCTGCTCGTCTACCGCCACGCGGCGGCGTGGCTGCAGTGGCTGCAGTGGCTGCAGTGGCTGCAGCGGCCGGATGCACGATGGCGCCGAAGGGCCGCCGAGCAAGCCCCAGTTCGGATCAGGACAAAAAACAGTAGGCTCCGACGAGAATCGAACCTCGAACCTTGCTTTGCGCGCAGACAACGTGGTGGACCGCAACTGCACGGGGTGCACGCGCTGCTGCGTGGACTACGGCGGCTGGCTGCACTTCCAGCACGGCCTCCACAAGGTGGTGCGGGACCCGCTGTTCGAGCTGCTCATCACGCTGTGCATCGTCATCAACACCGCCTTCCTGGCCACCGAGCACCACGGCATGTCCGACACCATTCGGAACGCCCTGGACGTCGGCAACAAGGTTCGGATCCCCCCGCAGGGCTGCTTTTCTCCAGCCTCCTTCGGATCATTGTCCTTGATCCACTGTGCAAATTTTTGCCGCAGGTCTTCACGTCCATCTTCTGCTTGGAGTGCGTGCTGAAGCTGCTGGCCCTCAGCAAGGAGTACTTCGCGTGCGGCTGGAACATCTTCGACCTGCTCATCGTGTCCGCGTCCCTGCTCGACCTGTCCTTCGAGCTGGTGGGCGGGCTCTCCGTCCTGCGGGGCCTGCGACTGGTGAGGAAGATTGATTCCTAAACGCCCCTCCGGAAAAGATGAATTGGCGACTGAGAGAGCAATCTTGATGACGATTTCGCTTTCCAGCTCCGCGTGCTCAAGCTGGCGCAGTCCTGGACCACCATGAAGGTGCTGCTGAGCATCATCATCTCCACGATCGGCGCGCTGGGAAACTTGACGTTCGTGCTCGTCATCGTCATCTACATCTTCGCCGTGATCGGCATGCAGCTTTTCTCCAAGGACTACACCGCCGAGAAGTTCGAGCCGGACCCCATTCCGCGCTGGAACTTCTCCGACTTCTTCCACTCCTTCATGATGATCTTCCGCATCCTGTGCGGAGAGTGGATCGAGCCGCTGTGGGACTGCATGCGAGCCGAGCAGAACGAGGTGACATGTTTTTTTCTTTGTTTTCGTCTCCGCCGCGGGTACGACTGAACTTTTGAACCCAACGAGGCTTCCGTTGCAGGGCTACGGCACGTGCTTCCTCATCTTCCTGCCCGCCCTGGTCATGGGCAACTTCATGGTGCTCAACCTCTTCTTGGCGTTGCTGCTCAACAGCTTCAACTCGGAGGAGCTGAAATCCAAGAAGGAGGTGAGGCGGACGCACTTTATCGACAGGAGGGGGCTGTCCGCTCGTCGTGTCGCTCTGTCTCTTCCGCAACCCGTGCGTGGGACAGAGACAGAGCGACGAAACGACTCTGCGGAATCAGTCTCCTGGTGCGCTCCGACGCGCCGCCCCAGCCGCCGCGCTGTGGCTGCGGCTTTATCTACTTGTCTGCCGAGAAGTGGCGGCGCGAGGCCGCGAGGCTCACCCTGGCTCGTCTTTTGTCTGCAGGAAGTGGGCGAGGAGTCGAAACTGGCGCGCAGCTTCGACCGCATTCGGTCCATCGTGCGCAAGACGCGGGTGCAGGCACCCCAGGAGCGCACGGACAACGAGCAGAACATGCGGCTGGAGGAGGTGGTGCGCGCCATGACCAAGTACAAGCCCAACGTCAACGAGACGGCCTTGGTGGAGGGCCCTCAGGTGAGGCGAATGGGCATGTTTCTTTTATGGTGCCGGCCCCGCGACCGCACTAACCGGCCCCGGCGTTGCAGATGATCGAGGCGCCGGCGGTGGAGTTCGACAAGGAGGACGTGGGGCAGCTCGGCCCGGACGACGTGGTGCAGCTGCGGCACCGCTACTCCATCGAGGTGCGGCCCGAGGACCTGCAGCAGCAGAAGCAGCAGCAGCAGCGGCAGGCCGCGCGCCTGTCCGCACGCCTCTCCGCGCGCCTGTCCGCCTCCATCAAGGACGGCGAGCTGCAGCAGGTGGTGGTGGTGGCGGACGACGGCGACGACGGCCTGGACGCGGCGGAGGCCGGCCGTGTGCTGCCGCTGCGCGTGCAGGAGGTGTCCGCGCAGGAGTCGGAGGACAGCACGGCGCCCATGCTCCGCCAGGAGGCCACCGACGACCCCGTCATCCCCACGCCGTCACCGACGCCGTCGCTCAGGCCCGCCGCGCCAACGTCGGAGCGCGCCGTCAACTGGCGCATTCGCCGGTCGTGGCCCCTGAGGGAGTCCTTCGAGTCCACGCCGGAGGAGCAGGCCGACGCCGCGGCGGCGCGGAGGTACTCGCTGGCCAACACGCAAGGCGAGAGCAAAGGTAAGGTCAATTCCCTGGAGCCCTGCAGCCCCTGGAGGCAGGGGGCGCCGAGGCCGCAAAGACTTGAGTTTCAACACTGCAGTAAACATGGAACCTTGTTGCAGACGAGTCCACCCAGGAGTGCCGCAGCGAGGCGGAGACGGCCATCTCGGGGACGGGGGTGTCTGTCGGCGGCACGGGGGTGGCGGCCGCGGTGCGCGCCGTGCCGGTGGCCAGCACCAAGCGCAACAAGCCCTGGCTCACCCTCGTCTCGTACGTGGACGAGCTCACCGTCGGCGGCAGAAGAGACTCCCAGGGTCGCTACGTCGACGGCCTGGGCAGGTTCCCGGGCTTCGGCAGAAACGCCAAGGACCTCACTCCACAAGACTGTTTTCCACAACATTGCTTCCAAAGGTAAAGCTTTTTCAATAATTTAAAATTATTTTGGCGGCGGCCAGCCCCCTCTAACGTTGCGTTGTTGGACAGGGCGTGCATGGAGCGGTGCATGGCGACTCCGTGGGGTCGCCGCTGGACCGCGGTACGCACGGCCGTGCTGTCCGTCGTGGACACGCCCGTGTTCGAGTGGCTCGTGCTCGTGCTCATCTTCGCGTCCTCCGTGACGCTGTGCTTCGAGGACATCCACCTGGACAACAACGTGACGCTCAAGAAGGTCCTGTACTGGACCAACCTGGCTTTCTGCCTCCTGTTCACCATCGAGATGGTGCTCAAGTGGATAGCCCTGGGGTTTTGGAAGTACTTCACGTCCTTCTGGACCATCCTGGACTTTGTGATCGTGTTCGTGTCAGTCTTCAGCCTGCTCATCGAGGAGAACGAGAACCTCAAAGTGCTGCGGTCCCTCCGCACCCTGCGGGCACTGCGTCCTCTCAGGGCCATCTCGCGGTGGCAGGGCATGAGGGTGCGTTCGCCGAGTACGAATCTCCGTTACGGCCCGATTCATTTTGCAAAATTAGTAACAATTGTTCTCTTTCATTGTAAGATTGTGGTGAACGCGTTGATGTACGCCATACCGTCCATCTTCAACGTGCTGCTGGTGTGCCTCGTCTTCTGGCTCATCTTCTCCATCATGGGCGTGCAGTTCTTCGGCGGCAAGTTCTACAAGTGCACGGACGAGGAGGGCGAGCTCTTGCCCATATCTGTACGTATGGCTTATCCGCTGTTCTTTCATTCAATCATTTCACCTCAATCGTTGTCTTACGGGTGTTTTCTTTACAGATTGTAAATACTAAGAGCGAGTGCCTTGCCTTGAACTACACTTGGAAGAACTCAAAAATCTCCTTTGACAACGTGGGCAACGCCTACCTCGCGCTCTTCCAAGTGGTACGGAAATGTCGCATTATTTTTATATTCGTTAAGACATTTAAAATATTTTTTTTAAAAAACTTTTTCTTTTTTTGGCTAGGCCACGTTTGAGGGGTGGATGGAGGTGATGGCGGATGCGGTGGACTCGCGAGGGGTGGACCTGCAGCCGTCCAGAGAGGCCAGCATCTACGCCTACCTCTACTTCGTCATCTTCATCGTGTGCGGCTCATTCTTCACCCTGAACCTGTTTATCGGAGTCATCATCGACAACTTCAACATGCTCAAGAAAAAGGTAGGCGCGATGCTCCATGAGACACTGCCAAACGGTCCGCCGTACGGTTCCACTAACGTTGTGTCCGCCGGCAGTACGAGGGCGGGGTCCTGGAGATGTTTCTCACGGAGAGCCAGAAGCACTACTACACGGCCATGAAGAAGCTGGGGCGGAAGAAGCCACAGAAGGTCATCAAGCGACCCATCAACCAGTTCCTGGCCATGTTCTACGACTTGTCAAACTCTCGAAGGTGCGCACTTTTTGCAGTGTGTTTCATTTTTTTTTTTAATTTTACTAGAAAGCGCCATTACAATGCCGTCACGTTTGCGCAGGTTCGAGATCGCCATTTTCGTGCTCATCTTCCTCAACATGGTCACCATGGGCATCGAGCACTACAACCAGCCGCATGCCGTGTTCTTCGTCCTCGAAGTCAGCAACGCGTTCTTCACCACCGTCTTCGGACTGGGTTCGTAAAAACGAAAACCCAGCCATTGGGAGTCGAACCCGAGCCGAACAAACGGCTGACAACGACGTTGCTAACTGCGCCACGGCCTCTTCGGTTTCCAGAGGCGCTGGTGAAGATGATGGGGCTGCGGCTGCACTACTTCACGGTGCCGTGGAACCTGTTTGACTTCCTGCTCGTGGTGGCCTCCATCCTGGGCATCCTGATGGAGGACATCATGATAGACTTCCCCGTGTCGCCCACCCTGCTGCGCGTCGTCAGGGTCTTCAGGATCGGACGAATCCTTCGGCTAATCAAGGTACTCTTTCCGGTCCTGCTTCTTTCGGACGAGCGTTGCAACTCGGCCCGCTAACGCCCTGGTTCTCGCAGGCCGCCAAAGGCATCCGCAAGCTGCTGTTCGCGCTCGTGGTGTCGCTGCCCGCGCTCTTCAACATCGGCGCGCTGCTGGCGCTCATCACCTTCATCTACGCCATCATCGGCATGTCCGTGTTCGGCCACGTGAAGCAGCAGCGCGCCCTGGACGACATGGTCAACTTCCAGACCTTCGGCCGCTCCATGCAGCTGCTGTTCAGGTAGGGTGGCTTTCCCAAGCCAAGTTAGGGCGCTGGGCCCGTGCCGTGGCAAAGCCCCTGCGGACTCCAGGGTAGGCCAGCCCGCAACACAGCAGTGCGCTGCGGGCCGGCCTAGCCTCGAGTCCACAGGGGCTCTGCTCCGCGTCGCGACTCGTTCTGACCTGCCCCGCCCGTTCTTGCCGTCCAGGCTCATGACTTCCGCGGGCTGGAACGACGTGCTGGAGTCCCTGATGATCCAGCCGCCGGACTGCGACCCGCACTTCAACCACCAGCCCAACGGCGACTGCGGCTACCCGCTGCTCGCCATCACCTACTTCACGTCCTTCATCATCATCTCGTACATGATCGTCATCAACATGTACATCGCCATCATCCTGGAGAACTTCAACCAGGCGCACCAGGAGGAGGAGATCGGCATCGTGGAGGACGACTTGGAGATGTTCTACATCAGATGGTCCAAGTGAGTGCCCACCTTCCCACGACCAGTCGGCTGATTCGCGGTGCAAGTAGAGGGTCGACCTCACATCCACTTCTCTCTTTCTCCCTCTTTCAGATTCGACCCCCACGCTACGCAGTTCATCCGGTTCTCGCAGCTGTCCGACTTCATCGCCAGCTTGGACCCGCCGCTGGGCATCCCCAAGCCCAACATCGTGGCCCTGGTGTCCTTCAACCTGCCCATCGCGCGCGGCAACAAGATACACTGCCTGGACATCCTGCACGCGCTCGTCAAGCACGTGCTGGGCCACGTCGAGGAGACCGAGGACTTCCGGAAGGTGAGCATGCTGTGCACCAGGTCAACGGAAAGTAACACGCTGGAAAGACAAATTTCTCAATCGATTGTGTTTCGTTCTCAGTTGCAAGACCAGATGGACGTCAAGTTCAAGAAGCAGTTCCCGACGCGCAAGGAGCTGGAGATCGTGTCCTCGACGCGGCTGTGGAAGCGGCAGGACAAGGCGGCCAGGCTCATCCAGAAGACGTTCCGCGAGTGGCAGCGCTGGAAGCGCGACCAGCGGCTGCAGGAGGCCGAGGCCGTCGAGCTGGAGGACGAGCAGACGCAGACGTCGAGTCCGGGCGCGGGCGCGGGCTGGCAGGGCCGCCTGTCCGCCTTCCTGCACGTGCACCGCGGCTCCAGGGCCTCGTCGCGCAAGTCCTCGCGCGCGTCCGACGCGTCCGACCTGTCCGAGCTCGGCGGCGCGTGGCTCAACCTGCCGCTGCTGCTGGTGCAGCCCAACTTCGGCCCGGAGGACGAGGACGGCGACGCCGGCAGCGACGCGCAGGTTGACGTCAACATCACCGTGTCGCAGCCCAGCCCGGACCCCAGCTTCTCCGCGCGCGGGCTGACGTCACCGCCGCTGGACCCGCTGTTCAGCCGCGGCGAGAGTCTGACGGAGACGGTGCTGTCGCTGTGCGGCATCGACCCGGTCAGCATCATGGTGACGCAGCCCTCCCCCGACCAGGCCACGGCGCCAGACCCGTCGGACCGCGGGGACCGCCCCTCCTCGCCGCCCGAGAAGCCGCGCCGCGCGCCCTCCAGGGCGGCGTCCTCCTCGCCCGCGTCCTCGGCGGCGAGCACGTCGGCGGCGAGCACGTCGCCCACCAGGAGTCCCGGCGACGACTCCCCGGCGGCGCCCTCCAACGCATCTGCCTTCGTCCGGCGCCAGGCGTTCCGGCGCGCAAGCGTGGCGTCCGACTCGGCCGCCGCCAACTCCAGGGCCTCGGCCTCCACGTCCACGACGTCCACGGGGCGCCGCCGCTCGCCCTACCGCCAGGCCAGCGAGTCCACGGTGGTGCACGTCCTGGTGCACCGCGAGTCCGAGGAGTACGCCGCGGACGATAAGGACAGATGATGCATACAGTACCAAAGAATTTAGGGATTTTGATGCAATAAGACTAGACGATAATAGGCCTAATGTAAATAATGTTAAAGAGAATCGTCGGACATTTTATTGAACTTTATTATTGTTGTGCCACTTGGTGGCCGAGTGTGTTAAATATGTAAAGCTGTCATTCTAAGTAATAATTATGGTAAGAAGAAGTTTGTAAACTACTTTTTATCGCATTCCGTAAGTAAGCATAGCGGGTAGGTTTCCGTTATTTTTTTACGCCGTTCACCCTTTTTGTGATGTGACGGGTGGGGACAGCTCCAACTGCCCCAAGACCTACGCGTGGAGCTGCATTTCGGGACGCTCTGTTTCGTAGTCATTAAGACCAATTAAATTTTTCGGTATAATGGTAAAGATTGGTATGCGTCTAGTCAATTTTTATATCATTCTTTCCTGTCTCAACTTCATACAATCAAAAGGACCTTGATATGCCTTATCTTTAGATCTTAAATTATCTATAAATATTAGAAATTTTTATTGTTACTAGGTTTGTGTACATCAATCATCATTCTTTCTTATCGTAATATCTTACCAAATCACTACGAAATGGTTCTTCGTAGGATAGATCTATTTCTTTATACTCCCGAGAAGAATGAGACCATAATGCTGTTGTACCTTTTGACGACTTTTCGTAGATGAGAAAGGGTATTTTGTGCGCAGAGCTTGAAAAGTTCTTACTTTTGAAGAGCTTTGGGCGCACATGCACCCCGCGGACTTCCACAAGGTCTAGGCCGGTCTAGGCTACTAGATGCCGACAGTCTAGAAAGTCTAGCACCTTATGTTTACACGCGTCTATTGTACAATATACCGCCGCTATCTTTACTTATCAAATTCTTCCTAAGCGGCGGTTTTATTTCAGGTAATGTAAATAGATTTTTTTTAATGTGGCCTCTTGAAGGTTCTCACTCGGTGGGCGCCGGGTAAAGAGCACCTTGTAGGCGATTAAGTGTTTTAACGTCCAAAAATCGGAAGTTGGGTATGAAAAGTCGTGCATTTTGTAGCACCACATTGCTGAAAGATAAGTGGTAGGTCTACACCATTGTGCGAGGTACAATATAAGCTGACTGCTGTTACTGGTTTTTGAAAAAATCAAAAGTTACCTTGTATTCTTTGTAAATAATTGTTACTATCATTAGCTTCCTCGAAGGGTTATTCTTTTTGTCGTTATCTGTCATTTAGCTAGAACAAAACACAAAGTTAGTGCATGTGTACTCTTGTCTGAGACTGAAAAATAGATTGTTTCTAATTTAAGAGCTTTAAAACTTACGTCTCAAAGAATTTTGATTGCCTCTGTGGTGTAGAGATATGAGAAGGCGCAACAGAGTATTACGGAAAATAATGGCATTCCTAGAGTCATGGGAAGTGTGGGGAGCAAGGGGAGGAAGCAATTCATTCAACACTCTCATAGCGCGCGTAAAAGATACTCATTACTTATCAAAACCTAAAAAAATAAATATTGAATTATATAAAATAAATGATAATAAATGGTTTGGCGCGAGTGACAAAATTGTGATCAACGTCGACTTGACATCGAGTTGATACACTGTCCCGAGCTTAAGACTTTTCGGGGTCAATTCGATGTGATTTCGACGTCGAACGGATGGTTAAGTTGTAAATGAGTGAGATCGAGCCTCCTTGTGCTTCCCCCACGTCGACGCATTTAGTTTATTTCCTCTTCGACATGCAGAGCAGAGCACTTCTAGCACTCACAAGGCCACAATGCTGTCAGCAATGCCATTTGAGGAGGTCGAAACGCACAAAATAAAATGTACAATAGTGCTTTGCAATAAGTTTTCATCCAAGCCAACGAATGCGTAATTAGTGTCATTACTTCAACATGAGATGGTTTCAAAGAGTCAGTAGGTCCCCCTTTCAATACGTATTTATCTCTTGTGTTGTACTTTCACCAATACGCCGTTCACCCACAGCCAACAAGTCCGGTGACTTTTGGTCAAATGCACTTGCCTTTTTAAAAAAGGAAGATTTTTGAAGGGTTTTGCGTAAAATTTCGGTTTACGATCGTGATAATGAAAAGAGTGACGTTTCGTAAGGGGGAAAAAATGTTTCAATCCGTCAGGAACACCGAGTCTAAAACAAGAAAGGTCCAAATGTATCAGAGTATCCACAATGTGGAATTTATTTTTTACACCTCTTTATATGGGCGGAACATTATTCCTAGTCTGCCTCAAGCAACTTCATAACCCTTTATGCACTTTGTGAAAAATATTCAAATGTTTCTGTTTTTTGTTCTTTTTGGCGCACACTTTACCTCGCTGTCGTGTATATGGGGTTTCCCTAGTGTCTAAATAATGTCAGTGGCCTTTCTTCCAAGACCATCGTTTAAAACAAAAGTAACTCAAGACTCTCTAAACCAGCACCAAATAACACGACCCCTGTGGCACACTCTCGACTAAAATCTTACGCTAAACCCTTCAAAATCTAAATGTCCAAACTTCCCTCCTAAACTCACGCGGCCGACGCCGTTCCCCCACGGACTGCCTGGTAGAGAGGCCCAGGCCGGCCCAGGCACCCGCATGCTAAAAGGCTTTTCGAGGGCTCAAAATGTCAACCTCTTTAAGACTGGCATTTTAGAATTTCTAGTGAAACGTTGCCGAGTGCGTGGAGGCGCACGATGCGACGACGGCTGAGATGCATCCGGATGCATCTGGGATCCGTGCACACGAAGCCTCTAGGGCTAGATTAGGTGATGACTTTAGGGGTGCAGCGTTTCTACTTCTGGCCCCTACCGGTCAAGGTGCAAGGAAAATTGTGGAGGCTCCATCCGCACTAAAGATAGAACCACGCTTTTCATACTTCTTTCGCGTCGAATTTTAGGTGAGGAGGAGTGGTAAATGGAGTGAATTTGCCTACTTCTTCTCAAACCGTTTTTAAAATAAAAAGGGAACTCTATTTATTTCGTTTATACATGTTGTTTATGTCAAGGTTTTTGTGTTTGGTTCACTTTTCCGTAGGGTACCGAACAGGTATTGATATCGAAATCATAGTTGAGCCACCTCATTAAACGATGTTGTACTGTAAGTACCATCTGGACTCTCCCAAGTCAATTAACGTCAATTAATTCATAGAATCAGTGTTGTGATGCGAGGCCTGCTGAGAGCGAGCTCTCGCTCGGGACTGAGCGTGTTTAATCTAAAGTCTAGTGAATGCGGTTAGGCGTTCCAGAGCACACTGTATTCGCTTTTAACTTTATCGCGGAGAATATTTAGATGGGAGGCTGTCGCTCACAGCTTACGATGCTGGTCATATCGCTTGGATTCCTCACTCACAGTTCCTGTCTAGCAAAAGTTTTACCAAAATGTGCGTCTTCCTCAGCTCAAAATAATCAGTTCCCGACGAGGCTGTCGTACATTGATTGTCAGTGCCGTGAATAGTGTTGTTAGATGAAGCTGTGATCTGCGGCAGAGCCTACGCGCCCTAGCCAAACCGCGCCCATCAAGGGACACGTTCAAAAAAAAACTTTTTAAAAAATGAGAGGTCCGTCCAAATGAACGTAGAGCTCCTTCAATGTGTCAAGAGACACACACAACATAGACAACCCCGCGGCGAGCCAGACCCTCGTTGCAGCCGTCAGCTGCCGCCTGTCACCCGGAGCCTAGGCAACCCCACGGCACGGCCGGCGGGTGGGTTGCCTGCCGTCCAGGGGGTTGTCTGGCGTCCAGGAGACTCAGCTCGCGTCTCGTTTGCTGTGGACACATTGGAGAGGTCTGGCTACTTACTGGTTGCAGGATTGTCATTCCATTGCGATCCTCGCCATACGCATGGCGCGTGGCGCGCAGCGGGGATGTCGTGTGATGCAGTGGGCACTTCAGACCTTCCGTTTTTGTTTTCACTCCACCCTACTAATGTCAGCAATGATTTGACTGGAGTCAACTGCCGCCCCAGCGGTTTGTTTTTGGACAAAAAGCACGGTTTTGAAAAATCAAGATTTGATTTATCACTCTTCATGTTACTTTTGTTGTTTTCAAGCGGCTGTGATATTTTACTGATTTTTATGGATCAGCTCTTTGCTTTTTATCGCAAATCTGCTACTAAATAAAATTATCTTTTCTGTGCAGCTTAAAGCACGCTTCATTAAAAAAAGTAAGCTTTAAAAGCTACCATTCACACTAAGTGAACAAAGGTACTCTTCATCGTAAATGGAGAGTAGAGTGTGTACTAACACAAGTAATCGTGTAGCGTTTACGCCATTAAAATTTTATATTGTGCCATTGACGATTCATGTTTGCTTCGAGGGAAAAGAAAATTCAACCTCATGTATCAGATGTGTTTCGGCGATTATCTTTGCTCTCGCTCCAGATCCATTCTATTCCATTCGTGCATTGTAAGAAAGTGCTTAATTTTGTATTCTGTTTAAAACTATTTTTGTTTCGAAATTCTGTCTCAATTTTGGCTTTATCAGATACACCTTTGACAAGCCACAAAGAGCTTGGTTCTGGATCCATTTCATATATAATGTAAGATTGATTTGTAAAGCAATAGTGTTAACTAGATGTATTTCAAGTGCGTACTGCTCAAATCAGTGATCAAAGCTTTTCTTCAGGTTTGTAAGTCTTGAAATTTCATTATTAGTCTCTTCATTGATTTATCAATAAAAGTTTAAAATATGTTTTGTTGGACCACCATTGAATGATTCGTTCAAGGGTTATTTCTTTGTATCAACTCTATAGCTGTTTGATGTGTATGAGAAGTTTTGTTACCTTTAATTGGAGTTGTTGATTAATGGGTCTATAGATTTTTAAAAAACAGCCAATAAAATTGGTTCTCTTAGCAATAGAGACCTAGATTCGATGCCCTTTTCAATTAAGCTGTACTGTTCTTTACATTCCATTTTTTTCTATTCTTTCCTTGAAATGATATGTATATTTAAATCATGTTAGTATGTAAATTTCAATAAAGAAATATGGGAGCTTGTTAAAAAATTGAATTCTTTTCACCTTTTGTTTATATGGATTAAGTTTGTTTATTTGTAAGATGGTACAATATCTACATTCATAAATAATCTCTGAACATACGTACAGTATACACACTTCACCAGAACTAATAACAGCAACACAACCTGAGATGCATTGGGCATCATTTCACAAATATCAGTAATAATAATAATAGTAATAATAATGATGATAATGTAACAATGATAATGCTAAGGGTGCCACATTACTTCTCACACATCAAGAATGGAAGCCACATATCCATCAGCCCCATCAGTCTATTTGATTCCGAACCACAGTACGCACACCGCTCTCGAGATATTTTCCTCAACATGAAACCAAAACATGGTTTTGAAAATGGATGCCAGTACTGCTTTCCCACTTCTACTAAGAAAAGAAAGACAACACTCTCTCTTCCTGAGTAACAACTGATAATAAGTCGGTAAAACCCAAAGAAAATATAATAGTCGCATAAAAGTCATGGTGACAAGTCACATGTGCACAAACAATGAATAAAAACTGTCACAATAACGGAACTGGGACAATTTTGTTTTCCATGGGTAGCAAAAGAAGTCACATTCAAATCACATTCACAGCAAAAATCTGGTCAACAAATCTCATGCATAAAACTCACGGGCATGGACAAACAAAGAGTGGGTTGAGTTGAGGATTTTCAGTTTTGTGAAGAATTATTCTAAGGAGCATTTTAACAAAAAAAAGTCATTTTATATACTGATTCCACTTTTCAAATTTTGCTTTGTATTTGTCCATTTTGGGTTTCCAAAAGTTACCAAACGATATGTAATATGATCTATTTCAAGCAAGTCGCCTCCTGAACACATCTGATGCTAAAATTTTGTACCCCTACTTTTTTACACAGGGATATGCGAGAACACTAGAAGCAAACACATTACAAATTTTTTTTGCAACCATGTTTTCACTCATACGTTTTGAATATGAGGAAATATTTTCTCGCACTGAATGAATTAGAGAGAATGAACTACTGTATACATTACAGTAACCACAGGAAGACAAAAAGTAAATAAAGAAAAACTGAAACTCACAAGTAAAGATATTATTTTATGCCTCCAAAAAATGGAGCTTTAGTAACAAAAAGAACATTTGCTAAGCTAAACAATGAGGTTGAGAAAATGAAAGATTAAGCCAGCATAGACAGACATCACTACTGATTTCTAAACAAAAAAGCTGTGACTACTACCCTGACAACATTTTGTATGAATGTGCCCACATCATCAGTCCCAGACAAACACAGGAGAGTCAAGTCTCAGGATAAATCCTTCATTCCAATCTGTTTCTTGACCCACTACTACCGCAGGGTGAAGGACTCCAAAAATACATCTAAGCCACAGATGGTTCAACTCAAGCTCGTCTGTCTTAAACACTGTAAATACAAAATTAGAATTAATCCCAAAGTGTAAACAGGCTCATATTGAACAGCCAAGTAATCAGTACTGCAATTCACATATTAAGTATCACCACAAATAGAGCTGAGTGAATTCCAAAGTCTCTATCTGCATGCATTGCAAGGTACTGAAGGTATTACTATTCTGTGAACAGGATTGCCAACAAAGGGTTCAACAAACAGTTCCGACTGACAGATATGTGGTAGCACTGTACCATACTGTTCCAAGCCAGCCTTCACAGAATTTAGACCACATGCTTCTTGCATCCTTGAGATATAGTGAGGACGAAGAAATAAAGATTAGGTGCAAAGGGGAGAGGGAAAAGGCATAATTAAATGAACTGAAGAAATGTAGAAATTTCCTTTAAAATGCATGTTAATACCACAGCAAATTCACTTTACTTTTTAAAGTTCTAAAGTTAGTACACAAAATTGATCACAATGCAGGTTCCATCAACCAATAGAGCACCAAACATGCTTGCAAACCATTATCACATTCATATTTAAAGTTCCTTTCGCAATTTTCAACATGTATTGAATGCCCTAGGACTATAATTAATTTGTTGACAAGATGTACGAATAGTGCAACAACAAAAATTTGATATCATGATGAAGAAGTAAAGGTCAGCCAAAAACATTATTCCATAATTCCTAGAAAAAATTGGATGGTTCCCAAGGCAATACTATATTCACATAATTACAGGGCTGGTTTTATGTACAATGTTGCAGTCACTAATGTATCCTGCCAATTTTTTAAAGTTTTTCCATTTTGCTTAGGTAGATGATTTTTCCTTGAATTTCATTTCAGTCATTGGTGAAAAAATTCTGGCCCAAAGTTAAGCTACATCACTATTTGGACCGCCATTGTGTCAGATCCAATTATGACTTATTTACATGTAGTTACAAAATCTACAATCCGTAAGCAAACTGCTGAGATATGACAGGGGGAGCAAAGCATAACACTGGAAGGGGTAGTGAACAAACTTTTCCTTGCATAACTCTGAACATTTTGAATACACCAAAGCTTTTGCCAAAATAATTTACAAAATTGTGGCATGACTAGTATGTGCCTTTAGCACAGGACCAAACTGACTAAGATTGTGCTTTGCTTGTAAAACAAAGAAGCATGAATGTTTATAGACTTACAATTAAAACAATATTTACAAAGTATCTTACAGAAGCATCAAGTTAGACAAAAAGCATCCAATAACAGAATACATGCAAGCACCTTGTGTTGTTGGCGGGATGGCGGGACCTGGCCCTGTCTTGTGCAACCTCGGCCCTTTGCTTTTTACCACATTCAACGATTGTATGCTCTATGTTCTAACTTCTTAAAATATGTACAACTCCTTATATCAGTACTGTACAAACATTTACACTCATATTTTATAGAATGACCTTTACTTCTCTATCACAGCCAAAAGGGACAATATTTATCATTTGTAATCTCCTTATGAGCTTAATTTTAAAATTAAATTTTATCAAGAATGCCTACCTGGCAACATACACTGTAACATAAGTAAACATTTAATTCATTCTCATCTTCCAGTGGTTTGCAACAACATATAACAAGGATAAAATTCATTTTCACTCATTTCTTAATAAAAAATATAAGAATTTTTTAAAAACAATTCATTAGTCATGATTTCCCATATTTATAAGGATTTGGCAGCTACTTTTAAGAAAGCCGAGAACAGCAGGGTTACAGGATAAGAACTTAACAAAAGCTGTTTCTAAACCACAGAGATTGAAAGATGCCCCCAATATTCTAAATCCACAGTATAGTATCCCACAAGGTTCAGAGTAATGTATCACTATTTAAGATTTTTGTGTATTGTACTTTTTTAAAAACCTTTATTTGTAATGCAATTGAAGAATCAATTCATGATCATTTAGGTGGTTCAAAAAGTGCAAAACCTCACACTCCAAAAGGGATCCCAAGCCTTAGTGCTGATGTGATTCACATTAAACGGTGAGGCAAGAAGTACAGTCAAAGCCAATTACAGCTAAGGCTCAATGTAGGAAAATTCTGCTTCAAACGAGCACGAAGGGAATCGGCGGACATCTAGGCTACGTGCAGGCACATAGAACAGATTGGTAGAATTTCTTCTCTGGGCAATAACTATAGATGTATAAGATGATTGTAATTTTTAAAATAACTTCAAAGACACATCATGTACTAAACCTGAATTCTGATTAGGGGTTTTGATTTAAAGGAGGTACACAAATAAAATTGGTTAAAGGATCCACATCAGGGGAGACAAAATATTGACATTGTTTAGCATCAATGGTTGTTCTGTATACAGTTTACCCGTTTGTTCTACAATATTGGTTTCTAATGAAAGGAAAGCCAGACAAGTCAAAGTTCCAATTACATATCAAGACTGTCTAAACATATGCTGCCGTAGCCTTCCTAGTGTGTGGTTGCGCTTGTTGGTTCACATTTTTACCTTCAGATAGAGACACTCCATTTCTCGTGTCTGAGTTTGCACTACCTGATGCTACAGCAGCATAAGAAAACCCACAGCTATTACCATTGGTTGAATGATGATGTTGAGCAAACGTTGTTAATGCTGACTCAGCCATGTCAGTAGGTACATCCATGGAATGTCCATTTGAAGTAATAAGAGAGTTCACATTAACAACAGAGCCACTTCGACGAGAGTTAAGATGGCTCAAAGGGTTGTCAACTACATCAGTATGTAGAAGTGAGTAGCAGCTGGTACAAACTCGGACAGGTTCATAAACCTGCTTATTTGGAAGTGGCATGGTGTTCTCCGAACATTCAGAGCAAAATATTTTACCACAATTCCTGCAATAAACAAAGAAATGTAAGAACATGTCGTTTATTTGAATACAGAAATAACGATAAAGGGATGCAACCTCACACACCCACCTGCAATGGTGCTTGCGACGCACAACGTTGAATTCCCGACTGCAGCGCATACAGTGGTTCGCGGCATAGTCAGGCCACCACAGCACTGGGTTTCCATCAGGTACCTCCTCTAGGGCTTCCCATGAAACATCTGAAGGAATACTTTCTCCAGCTGATGCAGGCTCTCCTGAGCATGCTGACTCCGGCAAAGATCGCTAAAACATGCAAATGGCCACAAAATGTGCATTAGATATATTTATGAGTATGTTTAATTTTAATTTAAGGAATTTATGCATTTGTGTCATTTTTAATTACCACATCATCATTGCGATCCGGATGAGCATGACTGCACTGATGGCATACTTGCTGTGTAAGTGCCATCCTAGTCATGTGCAGATCCCTCTCCAGTGCCTGGACACGAGCCTGCATCAAAATAAATATCTAAGTCAGCACAAGATTACCAGAAGGCAACTCCTAATATCCAGGTAATGTTGGCTAACCTGATTTTCTGCCATAATATGTTGCAATCTAATTTGAACATCACTGTGAGGGGGTGCCAGCCCATCTACATCATCTAGCAACACTTGACCACCTTGGAAAGAAGAGGGTAAAGCCGCTCTTTCTTCACAAGGCGTTGCAGGAGTCGCAGGATAACCACCACTAGGTGTGCCACTATTAAGGGGTGGTGTTGAATAACGTGAACTGCTTCCAGAATGGTCCCTACAAACCAAAGGCCATACATTTTATTATTATTTTTCAAGTAGAACAAAACTTAGTGACTTTGAGAATGACACTTACCGATGGTTATCAGCTAAAAATCTTCTACTATCAGCACATACCCTACACATATCCCCAGCACTTGAGGATATCACATCGCCATCAGGGACACCATTTGTTAACACTGGAGGAGGCATGGAGCCAAGTGCTCCATAAGGGAATGTTAGGGACTGAGGGGTAAGTGAACTACACACCCCTATGGAACTTGACTGTTGCACTATTGGCATCACTATATCCGGAGAACTTGATGGCATAGCAGAAGCAGTTATAGAGGAACTAAAAGTAAAACAAAAATATTTTAAGTTAGAAGGAGAGGTAAATAAATATAAACAAATAACATTGAGTGACAAAATCCAATGAAGTAAGAGCTCTCACCTTATACCATTACAAAGTGGAGTAGCTGGACTAGCAGCAGCAGAGGCACTATGGTTGGCTAACTGATCTGGTGCAACTAAAGTATCAGTTGAACTGTCAACAGATAGGCCCGGCTGAACAGACTCATTCACTTTCCAAACGACCTTTGAAGATTCTTGGAAGTCTTCATTTGAATTATGGTTAGAAGAGATAATACTGCTGTCTAGGCTTGGTACATCCGTATCAGGTAATCTTGAAGTGCACTGTGTTAGTGTTCCAGGACTATCCACTGTATCAATAGAATCATGCACCTCAGTGGTAACAGTTATTTCAGTATCCTCATCATCAGACTGCTCTTCTCTACCATTGCATGGTGAGATTTGTTGAATAGTAGGCAAATTAGTAGATAAACTTGTTAGAGAAAGCTCAGGCACAGGGGACTGAGAAACAGCTTTGGAAAGTTCAAGACCCATTGCATCCTTGCACAGATCTGACACAACTTGATTCTGCACTTCATTTGATTGACCACCACAATCGTCTTGTGTTTCTCCATCTACTTGGTCAGTCTCATCGGTGCTGCCACCATTCACGTATTTTCTGTATGATTACAAAAAAAATCAATTGAGTTGAATTGATGCAGTATGAGAGGCAAGATCTATATATATATATACTTACATATCCACATTAATGCTAGAATCAGAACACCTCCTTGGCTGGTCCGCAAGAGAGCAATGGTTTTCTCGCTCATCACAGGCAGTAATTATATCATCATAAGAACGAGTTTTCACAAAACCATTTGATCGATTTGTGTCTTCAATGTCATCTGGGGCATTTGAATCTTCACTTGTAACATTAGAACTGCCAACAACTGACCCTGGAGCACTGTGGGTGGTTGTGACAGTGTTCACTGGGGCAGGAGCAGTAGATACTATTGAGGTGGCCCTATCAGGAGATCCTAAGTACAGGTTATTCCAGACTTTCAAATCACGAACATGGCAAGATGGCCACAATACCTGCAAAAGTACATTTACGGATTTTATTCATTGACAAATTAGACACACTGATTCCTTAGAACACATGAATGTTGTCTTACCCGATCCTCTGGTAGATATAAATGGTTCTTAAAGCAATCATCTTGTAAAAATTGCCAAACTGAAAATGTCCTTTCTGCAATGCTCAATTTAGTTCGATCAGCATTTGAATTGCACAAGAAAGTGCCAAACATATTTGAATACGTGTGTTGGACTAGTTTCACAAGGTAAGCCTCAGAAAACTCAAACAAACATTCAAACTGACATAGCAGTTGATGGACACAATCCACCCATTGCAAAAACACAGGACATCTTTCATTATGGTCGTCTCCACCGACTCCATGTCCACAACGATCAGCAAACTTATGACCAAAATCAAGCCATTCACGCTCACATAAAACTTGAAATCCCTGGAAAGTAGTTCCAAAACAAATAATTTAAACCCAATTTTGACAAAATATCAATGAGAAAATAAAGAGACAGATACCAACCTGCATAGTTCGATAGTAAGGGTCAAGCAATATCTCAGCTAAAGCAACAATCTGTGGAGTTCTGTCCCAACCATCTGAGCAGTGCACAACAACAGGCCTCCCTTCTCTGTCAAGCGCCTGAGCTACAGTCACAGCAGCTCGCATTAAACCAGACATATTTTGAAGCCATCGTGTCCCCTCAAGCAAGCTGAACCAACTGTTCAAGATACAGAGAGAGAGAAAATTAGTTCATACATGAATGGCACACTACCAAATGTGAGGGATCATAAACAACAATAGATGAAAATCAGCTCACTTTGGATTATCATCTGAAGATGCACACAATGCTCGAAGAGAGTGGAAGCTTTTCCTAATGGAGTGAATATTTGGAAGATTCATGAACTGTATTTCACAAGTGGGGTAGTACTCAGGATATTCACAGCCACCTCCTCTTGCACGATTTGCAATTGCAGTAGTGTAAGATCGAGCATCCATGATTAGAAGTTTCTACAGAAAGAACAGGATAAGGACGCATTTAATGGTACAGCAAACGTAACATTAACTAGGTCAATTTTTTTAAAACACTACAAATGAAGAGAGAACTTACTTTCCCTTGTGGTGGTAGATCCACTTGATCAGGAAGGGAGTCTTTCAGGCTACTTACACCACTTGAACTAGATCCAGAAATATCAGACTGTAAACTCGCATTTCCACCATTTAGTAAAGGAGGAGAGGATACAGTTGATGTGACTGTTGAAGTTTGGACTGAACCATTTAGACAAGTAAAGTTTCCTGGTGCTGTGGCTTCAGCTAGAGCAGATAATGTCATTGTGCTACTAGATACATCAGATGTAACATTATGCAAACGGTCATGAGCACAGGCATCAGCAATGGCCTTTAAAAGGGCTTCGTCCTCTGGAGAGCGCCAACCCAACCAGCCAACTTCTGGCTGAGAGCATCTCGCCAGCGCAGCGCCATTGCCTGTGTGCCTGAAATGAAAATGAGTTGTTAACTGTAAAATAATTAAGATACTCGGCGAAGCAATTTCACACCATGCCAAAAAGGAGGTGCTAGGGGGTTATAATACAGTGACATGACACTAACCTCCACACAACTGCTGGCACCCTGCCATAACTTCTAAATTGGGCACCTTTTTTCAATATTGAGTCAGCAATGCATGAAGGAATTAAGAGTTCTTTAGGATAAGATGAACACAGTTCACCATTTTCATTAGCTTTGGATATACGCCAAGCCCCATGAATATCAAACTGTAGTCGATCCATCTAATGGGTTCCAGAAATACAAGTGAGTTAACAATAACTCCATAATTTCTCAAAGAAAGTAACAGTTAGGAGAATATATACCTCTTTACGGAAATAAGACTGCTCAGGCTGCCTTTTTAAGCGCTGAAGAACTTTCTCCCCGCCCTCCTCTTTAGACCATGCATAGAATGAAAATGCAAAGACATCCTCAATTGATTTTGGAGGGCTGATTGCTCGCAACAAACGATGGAACCACTTCACACAAACATCATTGCTCAAAAATACCAGGCGAACAGAGCGAGCATCCTTGCACAAAACATGGAGATAAAAAATATCCTTAACCTGCAATGCGTAAACAAACACACAGCTCATAAATGCAAAATTAATCAAAACGTTGATAATGTGACAGCCACAAACATGTGTTAAAGCAGACCTCTAATTGTTCAATTAGTCCAAGTGGTATATTGTGATTGGACCCATCCGACATCAGCAGGAATATACGATAGTTTGACAGGACCAGAACTCCATCAGCTGTTCGCACAATGTATTTGGGAGATTCCCCACACACTGGCGTGAATGGAACTGTGAGTCCTTCTGTCGAGGGACCTCCACCTCCACTGTCTTCAATTTGCAATGTTGCTTTGGGGAAGAGCTCTGATGCTATGTTGGATAACGATTGCATACTGGATGGTTGAGGATCACCGGTAGAGAACTCCATGATTAAGCTCTATTAAAGCCTGAAATGAAAAGAATAAAAATATTAGTGCAAGAACAAAAAAAAATGCACAAAGTGCAGACAAAAAAAAAGAAATAATGGACCCAAAAAGAGATCAGGGACAATTTTGATTGCATGATGCATACTAGTACTAGAAATCTTAAGAGCAAGTAATGGAAATCTAAGTAATAAAGCCCAAACTCCTTTTGATCCTTGGCTCGTATAGGTAGTAAGAGAAAAAGGAATTCCGTTACAGAAGTATTAAAGAACTACTTTGAGGTTAGATCATAGCCTGGCACAAAATTTGAAATTTCTGCAAGAGTTTCATTTACATTACAATAATTCTACGGGACAAAGTGAATGAATTCCACGTAGAACAACTGTAGTTGATTAGAACAGGTTGGGTAAACAAATGAAAACTGTCAACTCTAAAATCAAAAGGATGTGTATCAGGACATACAAAGCCAGGGTTCACCAATCCAAACTTTAGAGTTGCTCACACGTAAAAATTTATAAGAGGTTTTAAAATAATGGGACGGAATAGAAGAACTAAGGCACCAAACCAGTAATTGATGTGAGAAAATAAGCCTAACAGTAGGAATGAAATACACCAAATGATGGTTGAAAATTAATCAATGAAATCACAACTAAAGAAAAATTTATGATAAATGCAATAACAAAGTCTGTCAAAAATAAAGATATAACAACTGATATGGAAAATATTACTTAAAGGGAAGAGTACATTTTCATTTGAATGAAAAGGAAGAGGCCAAAGAGTTTGGTGTGATAGATCCCCATAAAGCCTGGGGACTGATCCCATTACTGAATAAGAGAGCCTCGACCTTATGACGAAACAAATATCAAACAAAACTGTTGAAGACAGGTCCAACAGACCGCAATTTAGGAAGCAAAACACGTAAAAGACTTCTGACACCTGTCACCTCTAGGCCTACACCACTAAAACGGAGTTTCAAATTACCTAACCCTATTCTGGGGCATAAACCAAACTCGAAAAAACCAACCCTTCACTAGTCAAAATATTCTGGGCAAAACTAGATCGGAAAGCGATGAAAAACACAAAAGTTGGGATGTATGAACTCTCAAGGTTCTTAAATGTTGGCCGATGGCCTACATTATGTGCCCATGGGCCCGAAGTAAACACAGGCCTTTCCTCCGACTGGTACTCACTGAAAACCAGTAACGAACACGCAGAGAGGTCAGCACTCCTGCCGAGTTAATCCAACGGTAACATTTCCATTTTGGAGCGGCTGTAACGCGAATGGGAGAGACTAATTCTCCACCACAGCTGATTTCCACAGATGAACACCAACACCGTAATGGCGGCCGCGACCCAACATGACGTCAGCTGATTCCACGGGCAGCCAGGCAGGCCGCACGGATCGGCCCAACAAAAACAAAAGCACAGCGCGTCGAGGGGACCGTGATAGTGACGAAACAACGAGAGCGAGACGACGAGCCCGAAGGGAATCAAACCCAATCGTTTGATTCGGGCCAAATTTGACACAGTTTTCTCGACCGCTGCACTTGTGCGTGTAGCCGAGCCTTTCTGCTATCTTTGGCTGTCGTCTGTTCGGCGCGACTCGCGACGAGCCGAGCGCGCTGTCGCTTCGTGTTCCCGCGGAGGCAGTGCAAGGCTTTGGGCTTTGGGGACGAGCTAGCCGATCGCCGAGCGCTGCCATGCGGGCCGAGGCAGCCAGAGGCAAGGTCGCGAACTTTGCACCTTTCCGGCGCTGCTCCCATCAAAGCTGCATAATTTATCCCACTCGCAATAATCCTTCAGCATCGCGGTACAAATGGGGCCGCGATAGCCGCTATCGACAGGGACGCGAGACTGTTTTGGTTTTCATCGTGGAAGTCCCAAGAACAAAGGAAGGCGCGCTGAGGCGCGCTGGGGCTGCGGCCTGCGGCTCGGCCGGACAGACGGACCGACCACCCCCACCCCACTCCCCTGCCCTGTATCGCCCCTTCGCAGTGGCCATCAAATCAAATAAAACGAGTGAACGGAGTGAACGCGGATAACCGTCCGAGGCCTTAATCAGCGGTGGCGCGCGCCAGTCCCATTTCGAAATGAGCGCCCAAACTGCCGTCTTGGAGGCGGCCTTGAGCCTTGAGCCGTGCAAATAGTACAAAAGCGCCCCTGTCCCGGCCTCCTCCGGGCCGCGGCTTTATGCCGAGCTTCGCTTGCTTCGCTTGGTTTGCCTCCACGCTGCTGACGCTCATTCGGAACTGTGGTTTGGTCGCTCCGTCTCCCTCGCACTCATGGGGCTTTGGGCTTTCCGTTGGGGCGCGAGAAAGGTGGAATGGCCCAGCGGCCCAGCGGTTGCTGCTGCTATCGGCCTATCGGCCGCCGGCCGCATCGTGGATCGATCGACCACTGGCACTGGCTGCCATCGGCTGCCATTGAAGACGAAATGAAGGTCATTTGATACGGCGACTTTGGGCGCACGGCCGAGCGAGTCACACAATGCGCCCCACGCCCTTCTCTCTCGCCTCTCGCCCTCCTGGGACGTGCCGTGCCACTGCGAGACAGATAGGGCGGCCCTGCTTGCCTTACCGAAGGTACCGAAGGGCGCGTGCTTAGAGCCGACGACGATCGGCTGACGACGCTCCGCGAGGCTCCGCCACTGCAGTCGTCTCCCTTGGTGACACATTTTGGGCCCAGCCTCCCAGACCCCCGATTGGAAGCAAACGCAGCGCGGGGTTGAGTCTTGAGTCACGCCAGAGGGAGGTGCCACGTACCTCTGCCGAGCGACTTATCAGAGGGCCTTTGTCGTACTGTCTCTCTCCCAGCCCCCAATACACCCCGTGAGTGCGAGAGGGACGGAGCGGAAAGAGTCTGCTGCCGCGCGCGCACCTGGCCTCGGCAGCATATATCTTTGTGATGAGCAGTTTGGGGTTTGGCGAAATTACGTGGACGCAGAGGCGGTGGCGGTGGCCGCGGTGGTGCGCCGTCAAACGGTAAAAGTGCCCCGGCGAGAAGGCCGGCGGTGGGCCCCGCCCCGCCCCGCCCCGCCCCGCCCCGCCCGACTTATCTCTCGTCGCGTGCCCGCCCGCCTTACCGCCTTGCCCGCCCCGCTTCGCCCCGCCACACATCTTTCGGAACAATGTTTGTGTCGCCTCGCCAGAGCGGTGGGGCGGACTTTCGATTTTAAAATAAAAGTGCCAAGCATTAAAAAAAATGTAACTCGCAGAAAAACGGACGCGCTGTCGAAACAAAAAGTTCGTGAGCAGGAGCAGCGCGGCGCCGCCCCCGCCGAGGAGCCCCTGCCAACGGCGGCATAGGCAACCCAGCCGACGGCGAGCGCCGCGCCGGAGCGGGCGGCCTACCTGCCGGGCGATTGCCATTGCGATTAATGGCTCGACCACAAATGATCGTCTGCCTTCCGGGCCCACCCCGCCATATCGGCGATTCGGCCGCTGTCCCAGGCTGCCCGGCTTGACTCTGCTTGACTCCGCCACTTGGTTCGCACCAAGAGGGCGCTGAAGCGAGCGTGGCCGAGCGTGGCATGCGCTGCGCCGAGCAAGAGTAGCCCCGTTTACCAGGTCTGGCTAGGCCCTCTGCCTGGCCCTCGGCCTGGCCGTCGCGTTCCGGCGTCCCCGTCGTCGACACGATAGGCTATCGGCGGCCCGGAGCAGCATGCTGCAGCAGCCAGCGCTTTGGCCTTATCCGCGCACTTGTTGAGGTTGGGGGAGGAGAGGCTGCGCCGGGCTGCGCGGAAAGCTTGCAGGATAAGCAAGCACCGGAAGCAGGACCGGGAGGGCCGGGCAAGTGGGGACGTTTGGCTGACGACGTCCTTCTCCTTGCGAGTCCTGCCAGTCCGGTTCAGAGGGCAGCGCCGAGAGGGTCTTGGCCTGGAGCAGCCCCACCGCCGCCAAGTCCGCCACGCTCGAGCCCCGTCGCGCTCTGGCTCATCTCTGAGGCAGCTTGCGGTCTCTAGCGAGCTAGCTGCCTAGTGATTAGCATAGTGCGTGGGGCCAGACGTCGCCGCCAGACCTCGCCGCCAGACCTCGCTGGAGGACCACGCCGACGTCAACGAGGACCGCGTCGAGGAGTCAGGGCTGAGTGCGTATGGTGTGGGCGCGTGTGTGGAGCCGGGGAAAGGAACGAGCTGGCCGTTTGAGAGTTGCATAGTCGAATTTATTGATACCCAATGAGTACATAGTCGGGGGGCCCCTCCGCGGCCCCCCGTGGGCCGTCAGCCGCGCCGTCCGCGCGGGACGAGTACAATACAGTGTGTTCCCAACAGTTACGAATCAAGGCGAGACTCCTGTCGAACCGAATTGTAGTCTTTTCCTGCCACCACGCACCGCATTCTCGAAACGGGCATCCCGCAAGTCCTATTTTTAAAGTTTTTCAGTTTTTTTTTTTTTACTTTTTGGCTTTGCTTCGACGCGGGGATAGATAATATTCCTTGCTGGTGATGTGCGTGATCAAGAAGGCAGTCAAAAAAAGCCGCCCGCGTCGAAGAGAACTGGGATGCCCGAGCCAAAACCTCATTCCACCCCACCTTGCAATAGTTTAAAAAAAAATTAAAATAAAAATTAGACGAGTGCCCCTCGCCGCGTCCCCCAGCCTCAGCCCCGTGCCGTCTGCTCCGCTACTCCTCCTCTTCCTCCTCGAACTCGCCCTCCTCCTCCGCCGTGGCGTCCTGGTACTGCTGGTACTCGGAGATGAGGTCGTTCATGTTGGACTCGGCCTCGGTGAACTCCATCTCGTCCATGCCCTCGCCCGTGTACCAGTGCAAGAAGGCCTTCCGCCTGTACAGACATGCAAATGGGTTGTATTTTTAGACATTTCAGGCGAGAACACTGTCTGGCCGAGTCGCGTGTGGCCTTCAACTCGTCCTCGGAAGTGGACACGAAATGGGCTGCGATCGCCGCGGTCGGTTTTTATCGCTCCAGCCCAGCCGAGCCCAGCCTACCTGAACATGGCGGTGAACTGTTCGGAAACCCGTTTGAACAGCTCCTGGATGGCGGTGGTGTTGCCGACGAACGTGGACGACATCTTGAGCCCCCTGGGCGGGATGTCGCACACGGCCGTCTTCAGGTTGTTGGGGATCCACTCCACGAAGTAGCTGCTGTTCTTGTTCTGGATGTTGAGCATCTGCTCGTCGACCTCCTTCATGGACATGCGGCCTCGGAAGATGGCCGCCACCGTCAGGTACCTGGGGGAAGGCGCCAAGGCGGGTAAGTGCGGCGCGCGGCGAGGACGGCGAGGGCGGCGCGGGCGCGAGGTGCAGTTACCTTCCGTGGCGCGGGTCGCAGGCGCACATCATGTTCTTGGCGTCGAACATCTGCTGCGTGAGCTCAGGGACGGTGAGCGCGCGGTACTGCTGGCTGCCGCGCGAGGTGAGGGGCGCGAACCCGGGCATGAAGAAGTGCAACCTGCAATAGCACGGCAATGGCACCGGGTTCAAGTCCTGCGTCCTGCCCTTCTTTCCGGGGGACGGGCCGGGCAGCGGCGGTCGGACCTGGGGAAGGGGATCATGTTGACGGCCAGCTTGCGCAGGTCCGAGTTGAGCTGGCCGGGGAACCGCAGGCAGGTGGTGACGCCCGACATGGTGGCGGACACGAGGTGGTTCAGGTCGCCGAACGTGGGCGTGGTCAGCTTGAGCGTGCGGAAGCAGATGTCGTACAGCGCCTCGTTGTCGATGCAGTACGTCTCGTCCGTGTTCTCCACCAGCTGGTGCACCGACAGCGTGCAGTTGTACGGCTCCACCACCACGTCGGACACCTGCGGGCAATTTCGTTCATTTTCCAGCTCCTTGTCCGTTTCACAGTGTCACAGGTTCCGTGCGCAGCACACGCACCTTGGGCGAGGGGACGATGGAGTGCGTGTTCATGATGCGGTCCGGGTACTCCTCCCGGATCTTGGAGATGGTGAGCGTGCCCATGCCGGAGCCGGTGCCGCCGCCCAGGGAGTGGGTCATCTGGAAGCCCTGCAACGCATCGACGCGACCACCAGTCAGCAGCGCGCCCTCATCGCTGTCTTATCTACCCCTTTGGCCGAGTGCTGCGTTTTTAATCTCGCTTTGCGGGGCTGCGGGGCTGCGCGCGGTCCCGCCCCGGCTTGCCGGCGTTGAGACGCCGACTTTCGGGTTCGGGGCGTGCGGGGCGCGCGCGGCCCGATAGCTCGCGAGGAAGTGGTGGCCGCGCGATAAGCGTGCCGGCCGCCTCGTGTCGTGAGCCAGACCAGGACCGCGACGGCGGCCGGCGCAAGGGGCGGCGTCGTTTCCGGTTGGCCGTTGGCGTTCGACCGAGGGGCGGCGCGGTGGCCGGGCCCGGTGGAGGGGGCGTGGGCGTACCTGCAGGCAGTCGCAGCCCTCGGCCTCCTTCCGCACCACGTCCAGGACGGCGTCCACCAGCTCGGCGCCCTCGGTGTAGTGGCCCTTGGCCCAGTTGTTGCCGGCACCGCCCTGGCCGAACACGAAGTTGTCCGGCCGGAAGATCTGGCCGAAGGGGCCCGACCGGATGGAGTCCATGGTGCCGGGCTCCAGGTCGATCATGACGGCGCGGGGGACGTACTTGCCGCCTGGGGAAGCAGCCTGGTTCACCCTCCGCGCGAAAGGCGACAGGCGGGAGGGCAGCAAGCCGAGGGTGCCGAGGGCAAGCCCGCCGTACCTGTGGCCTCGTTGTAGTACACGTTGATGCGCTCCAGCTGCAGGTCGGAGTCGCCGTGGTACGTGCCGGTGGGGTCGATGCCGTGCTCGTCCGAAATCACTTCCCAGAACTGCAATGGTTGGGGTTGGTTTAGTTGAACCCGCGTCAGCGGGGAGGGGGGGGGGGGCGAGGCTCGCGGACCGCGGCCTACCTTGGCGCCGATCTGGTTGCCGCATTGGCCGGCCTGCAGGTGGCAGATCTCCCTCATGGTGGCGGAGGAGGAGAACGGGTTGGAGACGGTGAGGGTGAGGGGCGGGCGGCCTCCCTCACAGAGGAAGCCGGAGCTGGGGCTGGGTCCGGTTAGGGGCTGGTCGGCTCAGCTCCTTTGCCGGTCCGGGGTCGTGGCTAGGTGGGGCGGGGCAGGGCGGGGCAGGGCAGGGGACGGCTGCTGCAAGCTGTCGTGGTCCGCGCTGTTCGGCGTCCCAACGCGGAGTGGCTCTGTCCCAACTGAGGCGCCGTCGCTGGGGATGCAAACCGCGGGGGTGGCATTGTCGTTGCAGTGGAGGGGGGGGGCGGGGCCGTCCCTAAATGCCATTGTCACCGCGGTGGGGGCTGGGTGCGGGGGCGTCTCTAAACGCCATTGTCAGAATCTAGGACACTCCTTCCCTCCATCCCCTTTCTGACGCAACTGACGTCGTGTCTCGCGTTGCATGAGGAATCATAGGGAAAAACTCCCCATGGCCGTGTGCGCAAGAGGAGTGTAATTAAAGTCAAAAGAACTGTGCTCAACTCCACCCAATAATTTTTTTCTTTGCAAAATTTTTGTGGCCATATTTTATTTTTTGCAATTTTTTTCATTTTTTGTTGTTAAAAAAGAAGAAACCTTCTTTGTTATTTGATGACACCAGAATGTGCTAACCTGAATCAGTCACCCCCTTCCTCGTTTCGTTAGGCATGCACCAGGCGCCGGCGGCGCGGTAGTGGTGCATTTGTGACTGCAAGGAGGAGGAGGAGGAGGAGGAGGGCGTGGGGGCAGAGGGAGGAGGGAAGTGCACTCCAAAGTAATCTCTTTGTCTGGCTGCCCTGCTGGTGCTGCTGCCTGCTGGCCGCCCTGCCCTACTGTATGACCCGGCGGGACAGTACTGTACGACCGCTTGCATGCCTGCGCCTGCAGCGGCGCAGTAACAGTGTAACTGGACGGTCCGCGGCCGCGAGATGCGACAGTCTGCAGCCGGCGCAGCAAGGCGCGTCACGTGTTCGGCCTGTATGAGTGTAGGCGACACGGCTATCGAGTGGCTAACGATTGACTTGCGGGAACTTGCGGTGCCACAGAGTCGAGTCGGCCACCGCGCCACCACGCCACCGCATGGAGCCCGGGGCCTGGTTACTCTATGGAAGGGCCAACTGTCATCCAGAATTATTTTTTTTCAAAGAACTTTTTGTTTTACTTAAGATGGTTTATTGACATGTATTTACACTTTTGAGCAGAACCAGAAACTTGCATATCACAAATAAATTGAAAAACTGCAAAAGATGTCCTGCTTCCTCTTCCCCCTGACATGTACATGTTGTGGTAATCTATCATTTCAAGAATAGCTGCTGGATAGCCTGTTGGTGCAAAGAAAATAGAGGATAGGTGGTACAGAGCCCTCTGAAGTTAAACTTAGGTCTTAAACTACCAAACAAAACATACCTTGTTTCCTATCAGATTAATTCTCTTGAGAAGAAGAGCAGCATACGGATGATCCGAATATTGTTTGATAAAAGTAGAAACATGATGAACAGCAACATTGTACAGGACAGGACATCGTCTTTCAACTATTCGGCCTGAATACAAAGTATTAAGTCAGATCAAATTTTAGAAAGGATAAGTTGTATGATAAGATTACTTTAAGTTCTCTTTAAATACCTTTTGCTACAAATTCCAAATAACACGACAGAAGTGAAGGTTCCTTCTCACATGGTTGAAGAAATTCTTCCATGGGGACACCCACCTAAACATCAAGGAATAAGTAATGTGTCACTAAATAAATTTGGATTTTTCAAATTCTGCTGCTTACCTCATCAATGGGTGTAGAAAGTATATGCAAAACAACAGCATTTTCGCCCCAGATCATTCTACGCAACTGAGGATCCTGTTTCTGCTGCAAAGGCAGCAATATAAATGCTCCAAAGAGTGTGTCACCATAAGACACAGCAGAAAATTGCAACAATAACTCTCCATACCTACAGAAAAAATTACAAAAATGAATGACAACATTACACATTTAATAGTATTTTATAAAATAAAAAAGCCTACTTACAAATCATAAAATGAGGAAAGTCCAGGTATATTTTCCCTGAAATTTAATTTGTCCCTCTGCAGAAGTAACAGGTCCAAATTAACTTTCAAGTACCGTTTCACATCACTGTCCAAAAATAGATCAGAACCTGGAGAGAAATTTATTTTTAGTGCAAGACACAGTATCAAAAAGTACAACACAAAAAAAAAGGTAAGAAATCCAAGGCAATTTACCAGCAAGAAATACTAAGGCAAGACGGCACCATCGGGCTGTCACAGAGAGGGGCCTTCTTGCCTTGGGCCAAAGGCATTCCATAAGAAATAGGAATTGTAAAGCTTCTGTCACCACAAGAGCAGTGTCCCGCTCTGAGCACCGGGCCCGGTTCCTAGAACATTCAATATTGCATGAATTCAGAGGTTAATACAAAATGAGTTTAATTTCAACTAAAGAATGGATAAAATTTCCCTTACTGCGCATCATACTGTCCATAGAGAACAAGGACTGGCGCAAAGTGCCAATCAACAGGAAGTGCAGGCTCAGTGCCCTTGGATATGGAAGTGAGACTCATGCGCTGACCAGGAGGCAGCACCTTGCAGAAGCGCACTCCAAGTACATTCAAGTAATGTGACCCAATAGAAGACAACCTGCACAGAAAAAAAATAATTGTTTTTCTTTTTTTTTAATTCCAATGGCATCATTATGTCATGGATAGATTTAGTTAATAAAATTTACCCCTCACCTTTCCAGGGACTCATCAATCAAGTGCGTTTCCTTTTCAGTGTTAATAGAATTCATCCCCCATCTACCGGAAAGATAAAACACCAAAGTAAATAATTGGCTTAAACACACATTCAAAATTTTAAAACAAGCAGCACTTTCAAACTATTACTTGCCTGATAAATTCAGGACTAAAAACAGTGATTGGGAGAAGTGTGGTGATGAGGTACCTATCATTGGCTTGTACCATATCCACCACTCTAAAGGCCAGTTGAGAGTACTTTATCTGGTGATTCATAGTAAAATTTTCATCAGTTTTGAATTATTGAAATTTCCTACGTACTAACACCTAACACTCAATGATTTTTACCTGGCTTCCAGAAGGAACAAGTGATGGCTGAAGCACAATGAGAACTACTAAATGGTGAAGCATGTATACTTCCTGGCGGCAAAACCAATGACTTGAACTGCGCAGGGGCTTTGTTACCAATGCTTGAATATACTTATCTAAAGCATTATTCTCAAGCAAAAGGGACTGGAGCTAAACAGAAATTAAGAAATCAGCTGATGCAAATTCTGTCCCAGACAATCACAAGAAAACTTTTCAAAAGGAAATTCAAGGTTTTACCTTATTGGAGGAGCCAAAGGCTTCACAGAATATTGCCAGGAAACGCAGCAAACCAGACAGAGAAGGATGGGGAGCATGAGGAAGTAGTCCAGGAAGGAGGTTCTCCCCTCCCCATTCCATAGCACCCAACGAAGGGAGATTGGGAGGGTCTCTCTTTGTTCCTATTTCACAAGAACTCAGGAAGAACGAGCAAGACCTGAGAAGGACAATGAATCTTCAGAAACAATTCAATTCTAACTCTAAAACCATGAACATAGTTTTAAAAACAAAAATGTGGACTCACACTAAATTATCAAGCAGCTTCTGTAAACATGAACTTTTACCAAAGGGAAGGACAACCTCATAAACAAGAGATTCTACCTTTTCTAACACACTTTGTGACTCAGCTAAATCCTGTAACAGATGTATACATTTAATTTGCTTGTGATCAACAGGCAGCACATTATTGAGAATAGGTCTGGAATGGTTGTACCTGCTTCCTTGCGCAGTTTGTAATAGCTGCTAGGCAGTTGAAGGTAGCTCCTAACATTTTCACACCTGACCACTTTGAATGAAATAATAATTAATTTAAACTGTGAGCATAGCAGTCAGTGATAGAGAAGTAAATCATTAAGACTTACAGACGGCATTTCTGAAGTTTGGGATGATGCTTGGGTTAGCCATTTACGCTGGCAATCTACCACAAGCTTGGCAAGCTGGAAAACCGGTTTGGGGTCAAGAACATTGTGGTCAGACAGAACAATGTCACACGCTCTTTCTACAGCACCAATGAGAGCAGTTGCAAGTTCATGGCCAGATGGAGAGGCCCCTTGTCCAGCAAGAGAAGTATGCTGGGCGTGGAAGTGTAGCTGACGCATCAGTATTGGGAACAAATCTCTGAAACACAAAGCAGGAATATTTTAAGAAGAATTGATTCAACCATAACCAAAAATTTAAGAACTCGATGACTCACATGATACTTTGGGATGCCAGTCCATAGCTCATAAAGGTTTGCCAGAGATAATATCCCTGTATAACCAAACCCTGGATGTGAGGTAGTTCAGGTGAACTGGAATTAAAATAACTCTGCTATCATATCATTTCCATTTTGACCTTTATAAAAATTGCACTGCATAAAAAGTTAGCTCTACAGCATGATCCTACCTCATGCTGACATAAGTCATCACAGGTTCCATGATATTAAATTTGTCAAGAAGAGTGTTTGCTATTGTTCGAGAATGAGCAGCAAGCACACGCATCAGCCGCAGGGCTTTAGAACTAGGCTCACCATAACCCAGTTGTCCAGTACCAGCTGCTAGAGATGGAATAACTGGCACCAAAAAAAATTATTAACTACATTTCATAAAAGACGCTAAATTAAACTGAGTTTTTAAGACTGCTCTACATCATTTACCATGGGTTGTTAGCAGTTGGTCTCGTATAGTTCTCAGAAGTCCTCCACAGCTCACTACAGCTTCAGCTAATTGACGAGAATGTCGAGCGATTCTCAGAAGCAAGTCCAATACTACATCAGGAGGCCCCTTAAGTACATCAAGAATGTAACTGAAAATGCAAAATAAATACGTATCAATCATGCCTTAAGTTCTGAAAAATAATTTAAAGGATATAATTACTCACCCTAATCTTACAATTAAATTAGTGCGCTCTGCTCCTCTCAATACATCTAGCTGAATAATCTCAAAATCTTTCAGTTCAGCCTCATGTTCCTTCTGCTCTTGAATTTTCTTTGCATCTGTCTCCTCATAGGGAACTTCAAGTGTGGGATTCTGAAGGCCTCCTTCACAGCCAAGGAAGTAGTCAAAACTAGCCTTGGAAAAAAAATTTCTTTTGATATTTTTGACATGGTTATCCACACATGAAAAATCAAATTTAGGCACACACACACACCAAAAAACAGGAAGAACATTGTAAATTAATTTACCTCATCTGGTTCATTGAAAAGGAGATTTCTCATAGCAGTCATGGCAGCAAAGACAACTGGGGGGCTTATATCATCCATAGAAAAACGGAGTAAAAGAAATATACTAGCATCCAATAATTCTTTAAGAATATTTTGCTGCAGAACTTTATCATAAATTCCAAGTTGGGCTTTGAGCAGAACGTTTCCTAAGGAATTCAGCCCCATTACTCTCTGCTGTAGGACTGAGCTCCGACTCAACTGCATCAATTCCTGGAGAGTGTAGCCGGGCCTTTCCGGCTCATCCCCATGGTGGTGTAGACCTTGATTCACCTCCAACTTTTCATCGTTGTACGGCAACAGAAGACCTGTCATATTTAATTGCACAGTAGGTCAGCAGAATAGGACAAATAATTTTCAGAAACTTTGCAAGGAGACTATGTTTGATGTTACCTTGAAAATCAAATCTAGCTGCGTATGGTTCATCGGGGCCAGGAGCTTTCCTTGCAGGGGGTAAATCTTTCATCCATTCCAGTTTATCCTTTTCAACAACATTCATATGAAGCCACTGTTTTGCCTGGTCTGGATTGATAGGTAATGTTGCTAACAAATCAGTCTCTGGGTCTTTGGGCTGTGAAGGGCTTTGCGGTGCGGTAAAAGAATTAGAGAATACTTTCTTCCTTGACGGAGTTGCTTTTTGACCAGCTGACGCCTCCTTTTCTAAAGGCAATGCAGCTGACTTCGCTGATGGCACATTAGCATCACTTTTAGTCTCCAGTGCAGGCTTCAAAGTTTCGTTTACAACATTTTGATTAGATTTTCGTCGAGACTGGAGGAACTTAATTGTACTTGCACTCAACTGAGACATGAGTTTCAGTCTCTCCTCCTCAATTTCTTGAACTGACAGCTTCTCAAGCTGGGCCACATTCTGCTCATGAATATATTGAGCTTCCTTTCCCATGACAATGTAGCTGTGCTCTCCAAATTTATTAACTTGTAATGAACTTTGTTGTTCAGAGCCAGCAGTTCGTTTCGCATTTCCTCGTGATTTCTCCATACGAAGAGCAAAGAGGCTCTTCTTCTTTGGTTGGCTGGACTCGTTTTCTTTCGCAAAGGAAGATGTCTCCTCAGGTCCGGCAGGGGCGTACACAGCACGAGGATCAGAAATCCACTTTGGCGTAACAAACTCCTTGTTAGGGGATGTTTCAGTCGGCTGGGATGAGCATGATGGTGTAGCAGTAGTATTGCTAGCACCCGTCAGTGTAGGGGTGGGTTTCCGATCGTCTAAGAAGGAAATGAAAATACATGTATCCATAAAGAAGGAACTAAAAATTTTGTAAACAAAGTTATAGGTTATGGTTTGGTCATAAAATCCCCCAAACCTATTCTAAAAATTAAACAAAAGGATCATACCGTTTTCATTAGTGCGATTCATCTTTATTATGTGAACAGATGGCTTTTGTTGTTTTGCCAGAAACTCTTCTTGAAGCTTCATAAGCTCCTCGTCCGTGTCTCCACGACCGGGGCGGCGAGGGGCTGACATTTCGAGGTGACTCGAGATAAGAATAAGATAAAATGACCCTAAAATAAAACGGCACAAGGGCAGACCACTTTCTGTCAGCTGTCAGACGAGTAGGAATAACATTTGATGAAATCATTGACAGGGACGGTTCAAAACAAAGCGCCTGCAGCCAGCGTGCAGCAGATGACAGACGGGCTCGTTCCGTGGCGCCACCTTGTGGCCAACGTCTGAACTAGGCAGCAGCCTTCGACTTCCGGTTCCGGTTGGAGCGCGAACCTCCGCGCGACCGATTTCAAAGCCACACAGCAGACGAGACGACTGGACCAGACACGACCCGTCCCGTCCCGTCCTCGGTCCCCGCCTCGCCCGACGACTCGATTCCCCCTCCCCCGTCGCATCGGTGACCCCCACTGACGAGACGAGCCATCAATTAGTGATTTACGTGGATTTCGGCGAGACTGGACCGGAGAGCGGGCAGGGCTCGCGGGGCTGCAGGCCGAACCGGTTGCTGCGTGGCGTGGCGTTGCGTCGCCCCACCCCGCAGCCTACCTTTACCCTTATCAACATCAAGCCGCCGCGCCATGCCGTCGATGGCCAACAAATCACATTTTTCTTCTTGAAAGCCTGTAAGTATATCCAACATGCGGCGCGGGCCCTCTGATGTTGCGCCATACATACGCGCTGCGCTGCGCTGCCGGCGTCTGGGCAGTGCAGCGCAGGCAGGCTGTGCAGGCCGCCCGCATTCTTCACGATTTCGCGTAATGGATTTCCCTCTAGGAGGCTCGGGACTCGACGGCGAGATTGTTTGATTTGGAGCCGAGCCGAGGCTGCCGCCCTTGCCTGCCTGCAGACTGACTCCGAGGGTCGTTTTCCTCGCTCTGTCTCGCTCGCACCCGCACGGGACGTCCCATGATTGCGAGAGAGACAGAGCGACCAAAACGGAATGAGTGTGCCGCACGGCGCAAAGCGCAAAGCGAAGCGCCACCTCGCGGCTTCATCGTCTGTTTCTTTAAAAGGCGCAAAGCCAGCAATTACGGCAGCCCTTCCATCAGTCCATCTCCCAGCTTCCAGCATGCTTCCAGCGCGGCGGCACAGCCATGGCGCGGCAGTTCCGAACGGTGTTCGTCGCCTCTCGCGCCCCTCTCGGACGCCCCACGAGTGCGAGAGAGATGGAGCGAGGGGAGCATTATTGCTCGGCATCAGCCTGCAGGTCCTGCAGGTCCTGCAGGTCGCCGAACTGCAGTGCGATGCAATGCAGGGCACGCGGGGGGCCTCTTGGCCTTTTGGCCTTTTGGCTTGGGCCCACCCGGCCCTTGGTTGCCGGCTGCTAGAGTCCCATTGGCGGGAGTTCGAATTCAATCCCCCCTCCCTCTCGGCCACATCTCCAAAACGCCTGCCAGCGCGGCCCGGGCGCGGCCACAGTGCTACAAGGCTGTACAAGGCTCGCACCCTCGCTCACACCTCTATAAAAGTTTACAAGGCGCAGGTACGACGACAGGTGGGAATAAAATTCTGACAAAACATTTCCCGGGTGTTGTGAGTGATTAGCACAGCCAGCCGGGCTGGGCGCGGAGCGCGGAAGGGACGAATTAGCTTTTCGGCGCCTCCAACACTTCCACCATGTCGCAGCCAGGACGCAGCGACGCAGCCCGGAGAGGAGCAAGGCAAACACCGCTTTCCGAGTATCGTCTGCTGTTGTAGGGTAAACGCTACATTCCTCACGCGTCAGTGGAAGAGAGGGGGAGGAGAGAGGATGTGGCCAGTGTGCAGTGCAAAGGGTTGACTGCGGCCTGGGCGTGAGGCCTATGAGTGCACCCTTCCGAAGATTCCCTCAAAAATTGATCCCAAAGCCAACTACACTGTCGAAGCAGTGTGTTATTTTTTCCAGTGCAGTTGGTACGGTCATCCCGCTTTTTCACACGCACGCTCGCATGCTGCTCGCGGGGCAGGCGGGCTGCGGGTTGGCTGCGGGGCTGCGCGCCGGGCGCCGGGCCAGGCCAGGGTTGTAAACTTTACAGGGACCAATTAAACGTGTTAAGTCCTGGCCCTGGACGTGACGTGCACGTCGCGAGGGGTCAGCACGCCGACGGCCAGCCGAACGAGGAGCCGAACGAGGAGCCGAAGGCAGCCAAAGGCGCGGGAATACGGGAGGGATCGGGGCAGCCCGGCGCAGCAGCGAGCGGGCCGAGTCGAGATTATGATGATGAGCCCCATCTTTAACTTCTTTACAAGCATGACCTTCAGGCCAGCCCTCGGTATCCCTACCAGGTCAAGCCCTAGCGCGCTAGCGCTGCCTGCGTGTGTATCTGATGCGTCGCGGCGGCGGCTCTGTGGCGCGGCAGCCGCGATGCGCGCGTTTAGCGGGGCAGGCAGGCCAAAGGCAGGCAGCACGGTACTTGGACGAGTACGGTACCTGCCGCCAGGCTGCCAGCTCTGCCAGGGAGCGTCGGAAAGGTAAACTCATCACCGGCTCTTTTTATTTCTCTGCTTATTTTCGCTTCGTGCATCCGGTAGGTTGGTGGTCCTGCCGACACCGCCGCGGTGCGCGCGCAACGCCTTGGCAACGCGCAGAGCCCCGCCAAAAAGGCTAACCTAACATAACCTAACCTGACTCAGGTGACTCGGTGCGCTTGATTTGACGGGAAAATCGAGAAAAGTGGCCGACACACGTCATTGTCATCGCACGTGTAATCCACGCCGTGGCCGGCCGGGACCTCCTCGTCGAAAAAACAAGAGGGGCGTACGACCGGTAGCTGGGGGCGAATGGCGCACTCGGTTCCGTTTCGGAAACACATCGGCCGCCAAAGGCACGATCGCTTTCTCGGTTAAAAAAAAAACAACAAACGAGCGTGCCGGCTGCGAAAACGGCAGCAACTTTGCATGCCGCCCGGAACAGAAGGAGAGGAGAAAAACACGGAAAAAGAAAGAGCCGAAGCGATGGCCTCCGATTTAGAACGACGTAGCCCGCAGTCTTTAGCGATCGGCGCGTTGCCCCGGATCCCACTTTTTATCAATGGCCCGGCGGCCGACCCGGGCCGACCCGTTCCCGCTGCCGAGCACGCGTTTTCAGAGCGGGGCGCAAGGAACCAGCCGCCAACAACAATAAATAGATCAGCATGGGAACAGCAGAAAAAAACAACAACAAAAAAAGTAGTCGGTGTTTCATTTGCCTTTTGCCTTTCCCCGCTCAACGAAACAGGCGACGCCAGGCAACAGGCAACGCCTTTGAAGTGACTCCCGATCGATGCGATGGCGGCCGATAAGGCTGGGGGCCTCGAGGGCCTCGAGGTGGCGCGCCGCGGCATCGCCTTGCCGTGTAATTAGCTTGAAAATGCGACTCCAGAGTCCGGCGAGTGCGCCAGTTCCAAGCCAGTGGCAGTGTGCCGGCAGTGCCACCGCGGCGGCGCGGCGCCTCCTCGTCGCCCTCCGCCACCAGACTTGCTCCGAAAGTCCTTTTCGTCGCTCTTTCTCTGTGAGGCGTACCGTATCGGTGCGCGAGAGAGACAGAGCGACGAAAACGACTCTCGGAATCAGTCCAGAGGCCCTCGACGGCGCGGCCGTGGCGGCGGGTAGCGGCAGCATCACTGATAATTACGGGCAGTTTGGAAGAGTTTATCGCCCGGGGCCGACCTGGGAAATGGGGCGGCCTTATGGCGGCGGGGGATGCCTCCTCGAAGGCACCCGAAGTTACCCGAAGGTGAGTCAACGCGGCGGTCCGCTAAGCTAGGCTAAGCTGGGCGACCTGTATGCGCGACGTCGCTGCCGGGTCGTACCGAAAACGGACCCCAGGGGAATGCCAAAAAATATGAAGCTCGTTTTGTGTTGTTTTTTGAAAGGGGAAAAGAGATATATTCTCCTGCTCGATCCTTTTGGCGGGGCCGTTAGAACCACGACCTCGGCGACTGCGGGACTTCGGGACGTCGGTGCCGGTGCCGCGAGACGAGACTATCGGGTGACACACACACACCGGCCGGGCCGGGCCGGCATTTTATTTTTGTAGTCGCGTCCGCCTGGGCACTTGGACCGGCGTGGAAGTCGAGTGGAAGTGGAAGTGCAGTGGAGTGGAAGTGTGGAGCGAGGAAGCGTATGCAGTGGAGGTGCCGGAGGTGCCGGAGTCGTGCTGCTCGCCGCTCCCCCCGCGTCCTCGCCCCCTCGCCCCCTCGCCCTCCGCCTCAGATTTTTAATTTTTAAGCACGGCCGCGTAGCCCGCGGCACGCCTGGCCAGCCCGGCCAACCCGGCCAACCCGGCCCGTCACGGGCTATTAGTTCGGGGCACACGTTGCCGCCTGCAGCGCGCCAACGCGCCAGCGCTACCGGCAGCGCGGCAGCCAGGTGTCGGTGCTAATGTGTGCGAGTGAAAGAGATAGAGAGGGGGCTGTACCGTAAGTGGGTGTGTGTGTGTGTGTGTGTGTGCATCACGCCATCTGCGGCAGTTATCACGCCGAAGGGAAGGACCCCGCCGTTGGCAATATTTCCGCGTTGGGCGCGGCCGGCCCAGCGTTTTGTGCCTGCTTAATGGGGGCGTGGCGGGGCGGGGCGGCACGGGGCGGGCTTACGGGCGTGAGAAACAACTAACCGCCTTGTTGTTTTTGTTGTTGCCGTGGCTCCTGCTGGCTCCAGCTACCGCGGCGGCCGGGACGGGTCACTCTCGGGAGATACGGCCAGGGCCTCGGCCAGGGCTGGGTCGTCTTGGTCGTCGTGGGGCGGAAGCGGCGCGACGTTGACGTATACTCTCCGCCATGATGGCCCGACCGGGGCACCGCGGCACCGGGCCCGCGTCGGCCGAGTCCCGACTGACGACACTTGTGCCTCCGCTACCTGTTGCCTCCGCCACTCGGGCGGCTGCCGCCTATTCTGCCGCTACACGGCGCTCTTCTCTACTCCACGTACTCCGGCCTGGTATACCGCGGCGTCCGGCGTCCGGGCGGGGGCGGCGCGCGGCAAGCGGTCGTGGGCGTGTGGTGCTGCCCGGTGTCCGACGTGTCCGACGCGACGGGCCAACCGGTGTCAATGTTTGCCGGAGGAGCAGCATGGAAGCAGCGAGCAGCCCGCCCGTCCGGTCGTGAGCAGTCGTGAGAGGGCGGCTGCTGCTGTTGCTCGCCGCTACCGGCCGCGGCGGGGAAGTCCTCAGCCACCTCACTCCGAGAGAGCCGTTCTGTCTCTCTCGCTCTCCGTACGGCACGTCACCTGAGTGCGATAGAGACAGGGCGACGAAGCGGCGACCCTTGAGGTGGCTGCTCCAGTTTGGAGCGAGACCGAGCGGCGGTCACGAGACGCGAAG